CCCGGACTTTGTCACCTCCTTGCCCATCCCGGGCTTTAACCTCACCAACCGAAGTCGGTGTCCCCTCCCGGGGTGTTTCAACCTCTCCCGACGTGTCGGGGGTGCCCTTGCGGGCAGAACTGTCTGATTCCTCGGCCTCCATGGCGGAGGCCGGGGAGGGAGCCCGTTGCTCCGCGCTTGCGCATCCGCCCAGGCGGAAGCGTGGTAGCCACCCTCAGATGGCTCCGAAACCAAATGATACGAAAAGTCTCTGGGTGTGGGGCGCCTGCCCTCTTTGAGCCGCGGACCCGCCTCGCCAGGCACCTAGGTCCTTACGGGGACCTAGGCGGGACCACCCCTCCTACTCCCATATCCTTATAAGTATAAGAGCTACCGTAGGACAAGGAATACAATACGATCTTGGGTAGGGCGTCCCCCACACCAAAGGCCAGTAGTAGGGCGTCCCCCACACCAGGCCGGTGCGCGTAACAGCTTCCCTCAATGATCGATGTCCCCTACTCTGCTGCGTACCCAAAAACCTTTATCAGGCACCATTATATCTCCAACATCAACACTCAATGGGACATCGCGCACCCTGACCACGATCTTGACCTTTCCCCACTATACTTCACCCCTTTGATCCTCTGGACTCGTGACTTGACCAGACACGAGTTAGTCTTGGCAGCCCAGTTCCTATCGGGACACTATCCATGCCCCCGTTACCTATATAGGCTTGGCCTTACCCATGCTCAGTCGTGCCCATGGTGAAACCATGACATCTGTGATAGAGCACACATCCTGTTCCACTGTCCGTGCTTCGCGTACGAGAGGCAGCGTTACGCGCGTTACGTTGCTGACAGTTCTGTAGCAGCTTATGACAGGTCGATCGGATGGACTTGGCACTTCTTGGCCACGAGAGGCCGACACTTTTTGGCCCACTTTCTCAGGGCCATACACCGGGTCGTGACGAGCACTCTCTCCTCTCTCTCGAGAGATAGTTCATCGTGAGAGTTAGGAGATTTTTCTGGGAGTTGTTAGCAACCTGCATCTTCATAGAGGGATTGTGGCAGTAGGGCACTTAGCTAAGGATATCCATTGATGGGAACAGTTTGCTTCGGAGGGGCTTTGAACATGATGGGAAGGATCTTCTGAGACACTCTGAATGGGGAACAATGAGGACCAATGGACGCAATGGGGAACAATGGGAACAATGGGAACAATGGGAACAATGGGAACAATGGGAACAATGGGAACAATGGGAACAATGGGAACAATGGGAACAATGGGAACAATGGGAACAATGGGAACAATGGGAACAATGGGAACAATGGGAACAATGGGAACAATGGGAACAATGGGGACAATGGGGACAATGGGGACAATGGGAACAATGGGAACAATGGGAACAATGGGAACAATGGGAACAATGGGAACAATGGGAACAATGGGAACAATGGGAACCATGGGGACAATGGGGACAATGGGGAACAATGGCTGGGAACTCTCCTGCACTCTGACTGTCTCTATTGGCTGGCTTGACGCGACCGACCCTGGATTACCAGATTCGCTCATTCTGCTCTTTTCTTGCTGATTACTATCTTCTGACATCTCTACTCTGGATTTCCTTGGGCCTGCATCGACCTCACTCGACTTGAGGATGAAATAGGCCTTCAATCTTCTGGCTTTGGTTAGGGTCGGCCGCATTTTTCACTCTGCTTTAGTGTAATAAGGAATTTCACTCACTCACTCACACACACACACACACACAGTGCTCAATAATTTACAACAAAACTGGCATCCCCCAGCCAAAACAACGTATTTGAGTCTTTGTCGCTCCTCCAGGCAAATGAAATACCAACCCTGAGCCAAGAAATCCTCCATGCCCAGCTCCATCCCGCTGGCTAAGCAAATCCCCCTCAATGGCCACGGGCAACCTGGCACTCGTCCCACATTCTTCACTTTCAATTCTTGGGTTCACATTTGCTGCCCATGTCAAACTCACCCGGATGGCAACAGGGCACTTGTCATCACAGGTGCACATCAGTTAGCGGTGGCCTTGGGTGGCGGTGCCACTTCGGGCACCTTGTCAAGCAAGGCGGACAGCTCCAATCCGAATACCACCTTCGCCCTGTTGGTCTTTCCGGACACGTGAATGTCCTTGTCCTTCTGACATGCCCAGACTTGCGAGTGGGACAGGTAGCTGAGCAGGGAGGTGAGCATGAGCCCTGCGAATCCTGCAGTACGTGGGACACACCACAGTGAAGGGCATAAAATACTTGAAACCAACAATAGTTAAACCCCGAAACTGTGTCTGGCTTGCCGATGGATGGTACACTCCCCACATAATGCACTACCCACAAAATCGCAACGCATACCACCCCCCAAACCCTGCACCCCAATGGAATCCACAAACCGTGGATCGCGGAGGATAGCACAGGGTTTGTTGAATAATGCGGGGGCCTCAAGATAGCACCCCCGGCGCTGTCAAACATGGCCACTGTTGCGGAGCGCAGGAGGTATGCAAGATAGAGTGGGGGATGGGAGTGGGAGGTTTGAGGGGGCCAGTCTGCACTAGTTGCTTCAGCATCATATAAAATCATACCTTACATTCCATTGTGTGTCCTATTACCCCAATGATATGAAATCTGATTCAACCAAACAGTGCCATGTTATTCCTCCTTCAAGCAAACACCGTGTCCCCAAGATTCTCAGTGTCCAGCTCCATACTTACAGAGTGTGGCACTGATGTATATTCCATACACATGCTACACTATGCATACAGCTCCATACCGTTGACAGGGGGGGCACAGCACAATGCACTGCTACGTTGCGTTAGCTGTTATTCGCTGCTTTTGGTTGGCCCTGTGATTGGCGCCTTAGGTAACACTATGAATGTGCTTACATTGGCCATGTGCCGTTTCGCTTTGCCAGTCAATCTGGCGGCACGAGTTGCACGGCGTAATGCAGCGAGCTGTGGCATCCTGTCTCTTTTTTTGCCAACGGTTTTGGTTGCCTTCGTGAATGGTGCCTTATGTGATGCGCTAAATTGGCCGGGCGCCAGTACGCCTTGCCAGTGGTATGCCGACCAGTGTGACAACGCGGGGGGAGTGCTACTGAGTCAGCGGCTTGGTGCGGAACGCATGTGGCATGTAGATAGCACGGGGGCACAAAAGATAGCGGCCCCCGCATTCCTGACGTCAGCCCTGATGCTCGGGGGGGGGGGGCACTATCCTCCGTGATCTACGGTACTCTTTTCCACCGATCTTACCAACATATTTGGCATGGGTGGGTCCTTTTGGTGCCCATGATGCCACTTGCAATTCTACACAGGAACTCCCATCGAGATTCAGTGCTGCACACACTGCCCTACATCCTTTCCTTGGTGTGTATAGGCACGGCCATGTCCAAATACGCAATTGCTGCCAACCCACACTTGCTATGATTGCTGCAAGAAGAAAACCCTGAGGACCTCCCCTTGCTCCCTGTTCATGGATGTGCGGCACTGTTCCTCACTCCCCTCAAGATCCCATTCATGGACACTGCAAACACACAACAGTTCCTCCAAATGGCAACCTGCAGAAAAAGGCATCTGCTACCCACCTGCGTACACCAGGGGTACCCCTGGGTCCACCTTCATCTCCAATCCAGTGCTGCCTAAAACGTCGCCAATGGTGATGTCCATTCCATCTACAGATATGACCTTGCCAGACCCTGGTCTCCTCACTCCGGCAAATTCCCCATTGCTGTCGTACAGGACAACAGTCTGGAAATCCTTTGCCAAAACTGTCAAACAGCAAGCACATGATCTGACCACACAAATGAGAAAGGCTGTTGTGCACATGTTGGGCAGACTCTTGCTGCTGAGGCAATTTCCTTTTGCACATACTACGCAGCACACCACATTCTCTTCCAGCACAGCATCCTAGCTGCTCTACCCACTGGAAGGTGTTCAACAAGAAGTCATCTGCTAGCAACTGCAATCACCACGAGAGAAAATTGATGCTCTGTTCACAGGTGGTCGAACGCCAATTTGTGGTACACATGCCTGCAATGTCCACACGCCTAAAGATGGACCGATGCACATATTGCCACAAAGGTACTACCTGTATTTGCACACAACTGCACATACCGTAGTATGTTCAACCCTTCTGCAGTTTGAAATTAAACGTTGCTACTTTTGCTCTGCATTTTTCGACCGACTGTTAGTTTGGGAATTCTGTATCATGGTCACTGCCGGAATTGCAACCCCGCTCAGTTCGCCTACCTTCAAATACTGGTTTTCCACCACAGCTACTCAAGGATCTGGGGCCGCCAGATGCCACGAGCAGTCCAGAGACCTGCGCTGCGGCTGGGGCTGGTCCACAGTTCTTGGCACCATTATGTTTTGTTACTGCTTCGCATAAAAAGGCCAAACGTTACGTTACTGTGCAGAAGGGCGTAATGCGCCACGGTAGGTGTTATGAATGTGGCCAAGGCTTGCTAACGATCATGTCTGTCCTGAGCACAACGTAGGTGGCTACTCCTAACCTGATACACCTCGTGGAGGCCCTCCCTCCGATGCATCCTCAGGCATAGGGATGAAGGTAGCCCACACTCGCCCGCTCACATCCTTTCGGCCTTCCAACGAGGCCATCGGCAGCTTTATGAACTCGCCATTGTCTGGCTGCAGTGGGGACCCCACTGCTTTCACACTGATGGCTGCCATTGACCAGTCTGTCTGACCACACATACGAGCATGGCTCAGTCAGAACAGTGCAATCACAAGAGCCACAAGCACTGCTTCATCAGTACTTGGTCCTGGCAAATGTCATGTGCTTCTTCTCATGGGTACAGGCAGGGTGGAGCAGAGCTTAGTTTGCTCATATGTGGAGTCCAGATAGTTGACATACTTGATCCAGTTTCAATGGTGTAACTTCTGAAGTTGATTTCAGACGCAGGAGCAGTGAGTTGAAAGTGACCTTGACCACCTTTTAGTTGCATGGACACCGTTTTGCTGCCTTCTACATTTCCTGAACAAGTGAACCAGTGCACCACAGATAAAAGAACTGGTTATGCAGCAAGGGGTTGTGCCCCAAAGAATGTGGGGCGGGCATGATAGGACCATGCCCAAATGAGAAGACCATGATTAAGCCCCTGTAGCCGGCATTGGGTCGCACGCACTATGAAGATATAACGCCTACCTTGCTTTGACCAGCACACAAATGCTTGGGTTCAAATTCATATTCTCTTTCATACTAAGCTTCACACCCCAAACAGAAAGCCCCAGGAGGACTCACCTGGTACATTGTGAGCCCACCATATCTGAATGGGTCGTTCACTGAAATGGTCTTGCGCTTGAGTTCCCTTCCATCCTGGTCCTCAACAGAGAGGTCAGAATAAAATTGTGCGATGCTACCATCAGACCTGTAGTCGATGCTGAAGTCATGTACCCTCAGTGTGTTCTTCGCAGCATCCGGAAGGGTAGAAAAAAACGAGTTGGGCACAAGTGCATCAGCCATCACAAAGTCCCGACCCTGTAGGAAGAGCAGCAAAAAAGCTTGGTACAGGCGTTCAGTTCTCCTTGATAATATGTGACAAATGCCACTGCCCCTGCCAGCCAGTGACTGGCATACTTCCGCTACATGCTTTGTTCGAGAGACTGCACACTTCCCTGTATGGCTTTGCATAGTGCTCTTGCCATGGTCGCAGCACCAGTGGCCAGCCCTCGCATATGGCCACAATCCTGCCAGCTCTGAAGGGGCCACGCATACAACATCGCTGCAAGGGGTGGCCTGTTCCAGTGCCTGTGTCTGCTCCCAGTCCTGTGGAGTGGAGTTAGGTGCAGCATACTCTCCATTCGCATGTGGTTTGTGCACCACTTAGGGCCATCATTGCTGGACAATACTTTCCGACTCTCCATTCTGGGACAAGGTTTCAGGACAGAGTAAGTTGAGCACACAATTTGCAGAGTCATTGCTCAGCTGCTGCCCCGATCAAAGCCATGAAGTTGGTCTGACATCTTCTAAGAGCTCAAAGGTAGCTGACTGCACAGTTCCTGAGCGGTACTGACAGGCACAAACAAGGGCTGGTGTGAAATTTCAAAATGCAAATGGGCGAATGCAAGACGATGCCTGCACAGTCGCCATTCCACAAGCTGCTGTTCATACCTGTGGAACCATGGCTGTGCCCTTGAAACCTCCAAAAGCGCCATATATCACACCTCCCATGATCAAGAGCATGGCAATGTGCACGCCGATTGGTGCAAACCGCCCTGCAAGCCCCTTGAAGGCGTAAAGGCTGCTGTCCTTCAAGCACACCTGCACTCATCGGAGAGCATATGTTGATTGTCTCCACACAGCCTTGCCAAAAACCACACTGAATTTTGTCCCTTACAACACCACAAGTGTTTGGCGCACTGCTGCCTGTTTGTTTTTATTCCATCCGCTGTTGCTGCTGTGCTTCAGGGTTGCTGTCAGCCTGCAAAATCGTCTCGCTTGGGTTGAAATTTGGACAGGAACATTCGATTCCGCTGTTTGCACCAACTGGGTGTTTGTTTCATGCCCTTTGGCAAGCCAGTCTTGTATGGGCCACAATCGATTCGCCTAACAACAATGCAGAGAACACACTCCATGTGGGGCTAACACTTGTGCCTCATGCTACCCATGTACCCGAACTCTAAAATAACTGAATGGCTATTTTCTTCTGTAACACCCTAGTCTTATTCTACACTCGACAGAACTTTGGAATAACTGGATCAACAGTGTTGAACAAAATGCCAGTTTCATGCTGTACAACGTGGAGACTATCCATCTGAATACAGTTGTAGATGACAAAACCTCACAAACCTTGCTTCGACCCCAAAAATGAGTCTTGAAACGCTGGTCGGATGTGGCAACTGATCAGCATTTTCTTGTTTGCATTTCAATGGAAAGTTGATGATATGTTCTTTCTGCTGGTGTTGGTTGTTCCTTCCAAGAGTGGAACATGACAGGAATGGGACAACATTTCTTTTCCGTTATAGAATGTGCCCTTCACTGCGAATGCAGAACATAAGGTAATACAGTGTGAAGTGCGACGAAATGATGCAAGCATTCAACAGCTTCTTTCGGCAAAGGCAAAGCAGCTCCCATGCTTTGGCAATGTAAATCGTAGGGCAGGTATCCACGTGTCTGACTTTGAGAAACTGAAGCTGTGGCCAGCCATTCTTGTGTTTGCTATGTGCCAGGCATGGGATGTGGCCCAATGGACAATACGTTCCAGAGACAAAACAACAGGAGCAGGTCGAGGGTAAGTCAACACCATACAACTCACATGACAACAACACATAGCAGATCTGTTTTCGTATGACAAGTGAAATGCGGCCATGGGGTGCCTTTGCGGCAATGTGTGTTCTATCTGGTGTCCATTCAATGTGTAAGCGAGCATGTGCAACACAGTGCACAACCCAGCAGCCAGCCCAGACAATTTGCAATTCGTAGGGCTGCTTGACAGTGAACAGAAACTACAGCCAATGGGAAACACGACAATTGCAGTTGTGCACATTGCCCAACATCACCAAATGGGTGGAAGGGCAGCATGTTGCCCAGATTTTGACAAATGCAGGCAGCCATTGAAGATTTCCTGGCAACTGAAAATTGCCATTGCTGCTCCCACCTGGTATCCCTTTTCGTTGAGCAGGCCCCCCAGGTCCTGTATCCTGGCGTCAGGCAGCGTTTCTGCAATGTCTCCTTTTCTGGCCACTGCCTCTGGTGTTGTTGCAAACTGCCATCGCTGTGCAACCTGCAGCATAGTAACCTTTCCATCAGCCACACTGAATCCACATGCTCCCAACCCTCTTGTTCCTTTCCAATTCCCTTTTCTTCTCTTGCTCTCCCACCTCCCCCACCCACCCACCCCCACAGGGGCTTGTTGAGGAAAAGTTCTGGATCAAACTTGTGGAAGGAAATGACGCCTGCCATCACTTTGCAAATACAAGGGGAGTGCTGTTTCGTGGTCGGACAGATGCAATCAACAAATGGACTGCCTCTCTGCTCCCAGACTTGCTGCTGGCCGGCAGGGCCCCCATCTCCAGGCTCTCGCAGCTGTGCAAACAAGATTGCTGGAAGAGCTTTGACACTGCTCGAATAGTGGCGAACACAACAGGGTACCTTGGCGATGGGAAATTGTCTTGTGTACGTGCAGGCCACCAGCTGGCTTGCAAGGAGTGCCATGAGTAGCAGGAAGTACCAGCAGGTGTAGATGTGGTCCCATTGGAGGAAGTAGAGCAAGTCGTAAGTCAGGAAACCAAACATCTTGGGGCCCGTGTTTGGGTAGTTCTCCATGTACCATGTGACCGGCTGGAAGCGCACACAGAGTTGAGGATTAAAACGTTACTTTTTGGAAAAAGGAATTAATCCGAAAGGGCGGTCCAAATGAAGAACATGTGTAATTTTACGATGTGCAAAATGAGCAAGCCTGGGCGTTCTTCCTTGCAGTTTATGTCTTTCAAGGCAGCTTTTGAGACAGCAGTCGGGTTCTTCTTGGGATTTTATGGTCCATAAGATGTGCATTTCAGTGCTACCGGGGCACGCTCTTTAAGACAAAAGGAATAGCAAAACTGCAACAGCCACCCACAGCACAGAAAACAGAAGTACGACAAGTGCCACGTGCAGAGGGCGACAATAGAGAAATAATTTGCAAACTGCCAATCAGCTGTCCTGGAGCATTCTTACGTGTACCGCAGGCACTCGTGCTTGGATGCCTTTTCAACAATGCAGTGAAAAGAATGTCGAGAACTGGTAGCTGCTCCCTGGGATCATGGGGTTGGAATTCAGACCTTGTGACACTGGTGGCATCGCTGATGGCCATGCAGTTGAGATCATATCTGCGTGTGACGCAGTGTAAAAGTTACAACGACACACTTCTTTCATCACCTTGTTCTGCTCAACGACGGTCCCGACTGCGCTGCAGAAGCCGATGAGCGCCAAGACGCCAATCGCTCTGGGAAAAGACGACAACTCCCTCAGGACCCTCTTGTAAGCCACATTGAAGAGGCCAGAAGCGGAGTCTTCAGGATACGGCGCTTCTTGTGCGGTGGCCAAAACCACCGGCGTTCCTTCAGGGAGCCCCGGACCCTTTGTGCCTGTCGCAGCGAAGGCACAAGCGTGGGACAAACAGATAGCTAGCCAATCCCCATTGGCAGATGAGCAGCTGTAAACAACACATGTCCTGCATCCCCGCAAACGATGCATGGGTCTCCGACGCATTTTTCCATTACGTGCGCGTGCGTTCAGCAATCTCAACAACCATGGGAGGTGGGACAGATGGCGCCAAGGCGTACATGACAGCGAACCTTGATCGACTGCTTTTTTCTCCGATTCCTTGGTTGGCGACGCGACAGCCTGAATGCGGCCCAGCCATCCCCCCTCAAGGCCCGTCCTCCTGCCGCGTATGCTCAAGCGGACGCCCCGGCCCCCCCGCAATGCTGCCCCGGCCATTGGCGGGGGCTTGCCGCTGCGCAGCCATGACCGAGGCGCCCCCGCGACTTGCATCTTTCGGGCCTCCGTGTGCTCGGTGGCTGCGTCGTCGGTCAGCACGCCGGTAGCATTCCGGGCGCGGCGGACTTCTAGGGGAGCGCGGGAAGGCAGGCCCAAGGCGCTCGCGCCCGGCAATCGTGGGGAGGAGAGATCTGCCACACGTTTGTTGCGATTTTTGGGCAGTGCCAAAATAGCCCAGGGCACAGGCCCAATGTACTGTTGCGTGCTGCGACTGCCGCACCACTGATGACAGACCTTGAAATTTTGTTTCGAGAACGCAGAGCCAAGCCGTGAATTTCTGTGCAATTTCAATTGCTACGGCATATGACTAAGACCAGAAAGCGCAGGAACACACATTGCATCACTTCAAAACCATTGCAAGAAACACTCTCGCATGGCTGAATGGTACGCTACATTGATCGATGCCGTGACGTCATGTCGATGCATCCATGTAAGGAAGAAACAAACAAACAAACAAACAAACTCTCGCATGGCGCAAAACGATGTAGCGACACCGAGCTGGCCTCAAAAAACGGCTGCATGGTGCCTGCCGTGCCCTTCGGCCACCCGCCGGGCTAGTGCCTGGAACAGCGCCGCCGCGTGGCGGTTGGTGGGTTCTTACTTGTTTGGCGCACATCAGCGGACATGGGGGGCACCGCCCTTGGAGGAGCATCCGAGCATCAAACAAGTTGTTCCGACACCATCATCCCCCTGCGGCGCGCTTGTCGGGCCGCAAACCCCAGTACTTAACCACACACCCCACCTTCTGGCCGGCCCCGCCCGCCAAACCACCCGCCCCCCTTTACGTGTGCTCCACAAGGCCGGAGGGCACACCCGCGGGACTGCCACCACAGGCCCCAGAACCACGCCCCCAGCGCAGGCCTCCCAGCTCCCCGCCATGGGGTCCCAGCTCGAGAACCTGCTGTCCAACAGTTCCCTCGATTTGGATGTCGACCCCGGCCTGCTGGGTCTCCTTGTCGACAGTGCATCGGACAACCCCGCCCCTGCGGCTGGTCCCAACGGCCAAATGGCCCCGGCATCCACATCAGCATCGACCTGCGGCCCCGGCGGGGCCTACTACCCCTACTCCGGCGGCGCCCAGGGCGGGGTGTTTGGCCAGAGCACGATCCTGCCGCTGTTCGGCCCGGGATGCAGCCCGCCTGTGATGTCCCCCTTCGTGATACCGGAGCGCGGCCTGCCGGCCGCGGGCGGCCAGCCGCCCGGGTACGGCATGGCGGCGACCGGGGCGCACGGGGGGGACGGGCGGTACGCGGCGCCCGCCGACGTGGGCCCCGGCGCGGGGCCATCGGGCGGGCCTGGAGGCGCGGTGGATGAGAAGACGGCGACGATCCTGAGGCGGCAGGCGGCGATCCAGGCCAAGAACAGGCGGGCGCAGAAGCGGTTCAGGGAGAGGCAGAAGGTGGGCGGGGTGCTGAATGCCGCGTGCTCGCGCTGAATGCCTTCAGTGCCGCACCAGTGTGTGTGTATGTGTGGGGAATGACTCGTTGGCGGTAATGTGTGATTGAGGCTGAAGCGGGGTGGGGTGGGGAGGTGTCGCGGCGGGTGGCTGGCGCGCGGGGCCGGTGCTCTCGCCTTTTGTGGCCTTGCGGCGTTGTGAGCTGCGAAACTTCGAGCGCGCTACGCGGGCGGCGCGGTGATCCTTTTTTGGGTGGGACCACGTGGGCAACGCCGGAGGGAAGTTTCCCCGATGCTGGCTGTCATGGCGCTTTTCGCGCCGGCGGGGCTGCCGCGCTGCCGACACGGTGCGGCAGGCGGGCCTCATCGCCCAGCGGGACTGGTGGCTGTTGCGGAGGTGTGGCGCGTCATCTATGCTGGGGTGTGTGTTTGTGGGGATAGGACTTGGGAGTCGTGGCATCGGTCCTCACTGCGTGCGGCTTTGCGCACAGGCGAAAATGACTAACCTGGAGGAGCAGGTGGAGGGGCTGTGTGCGCAGCTTGAGGAGCTCAAGACCCAGAACACTTCGCTTGCCAATAAGAACGACTTGCTGACGAAAGTGCTCCAAATGAAAGACGAGCAGATGTGTGTGCTTCAGGAGGGAGCAAAGGTAGTAAACTCAACCTGAACGTCTGGATGTTCTGCAGCTTGACTTTGAAGTGGCATCTGAAGATGTTTGCTGTTCCTTCATCAGCTTGCTTGGAGGATAAACACTGGAGAGACTTCCATGACTTCTATGATGATACTCAGATTCCCTGGAATCGAATGGCCAGAATGGCCGAGGCAAACAAAGCCCTTGCACCTTGCATGCGATGATGGGCACACAAACATCCAAACACTATGCATTCAATGTCCCACGAACTCTGTTGTGCACCTTTGATAGTAGGAGATAAGTGTGTCCACATCCACATAAAAAGTCAAATCCATACCTGAAAAAGGGCCCATTTGTCCACTTTTGTCCACCTGCACCACAGGACTGAATCATTGTCAACCTTGAACAGCATGGAACTGAATAACATGAAAATAGAACTTCATGGAACTGCTTCCACTGCAGTTGCTGTGAACTTGTTGTGGCTGTGTCAATGCACAGTTGTGAACTGGTGTGGCACTTGAAACTTGCTCTGGTAGAGGAAGCCTGTATTAGTGGATTGTTGCCTTTGCTGGTTTTGGCAATGACTCAGTTACCTACAACTGGGCAGCTCCTCACAAGTTGAGGGCAAACAGTTTTTACAGAGTGGGCACACCACAAAGTTGTAAGAGAAGTTGGACCGCCTGTGCCTGTGTCTCTGACCCTGAAGCTTCAATGCTCTGCTCCTGGCTGAATGAGCAGTGTCAATTGCTTGCAATTTAGCTTTGGTTAGACCACAGCACAACTCTAACTATATCATAGCACTGTAAAGTAGAACGGGTGTTTATTGAGATCCTTGTTGGGTGAAAGATGCATTTTTGACAGTGCTTGTAGTTAGGGATTCCGAAGTATTACTCATGCAAGAGCATGAAAAGACATTTCCTTCACACCTTCCAGGCAATGATGGGCATTTCTGGACCCAAATGTTTGTTTCTCATGAGTTTCATGGTGCCCTTGCTCGTCACTACCCCAATAGGTACAGATGCTAAGCATAAATTAAGCATGGCGGGGACTTGGCCATGCTGCAGGTCACAGATAGTCCTGCATTTCCTTCTGAGCTTTGTTGTTTGAGGATGCAGAAACAGAGCAGCAAGTTACGCAAAGGTTTCTGTCTCCCTCCTGAGAAGAGTGAGATGGACATTCGTGTAGCTGCACAGAGCTTAAACTCTAGAGAAAATACAGGGAGCAGCTTCGCCTAAGTTGTTGATGCATGATTGAGTTCTTCAGTTTGCGTTTGCTGCATGTGACAAGCCAAGCCCATACGCCAGCTTTGACACACTGTGGCGTGTCCTTGCCAGGTGTTTGACAATGCTCGGAGCCGTGCCGAGCCTGCCCGCCTTTCATCCACTTCCATGACACAGACCAGTGTCTGCACGATGGCAAAGCAGCCGAAAGCCTTGGAAGGAAACCATTTTCCCACATCTAAGTTTTACGAGCTCACAGCGGAAGAAGTGAGAGAGACGTGGAAGGCCTATGTCAACCAGCTGTCGATGCTGCTTGTTAACCTTGGGACAGATGCCTCTCAGACGGATGCTGAGCCTCGCATACTGCAACTGGTGTCGGAGATGGTGAGAAGCTGCACTGGCTGGGCCTCTGCGCTGTTCAGAATATGCATTTGTCAGCATTTGTTTTGTTCAATACTCCCATTCGTGTTCACTGTGCTGGGAGGTTGGCCAGTCACATTGTAACCAAAAGCATTGCAGGGCCTCACAAAATGGTCTCTCATTCCGTTTGTGTGGGTTTGGCCCCCCTCAGGGTGTTTGGCATATCTGTACTCCGTGCAGCACATAAGGATGTTGTTGTGGACGCTTGTATTGTGCACTTGGGCAGGAATGAGGTACTTTGTTCATGGAGGAAAGTGTGTCCAAGGAGTTTCTGAGACCGGCATGTGACTCTGTCAGAGCTGTGGGAGCTGGCCACACAATCCTGAATTTTGAGGACACATGCCATGAAACAGAATTGCCACACCGGGTGCACATTGTTCCGCATATGCATCCACAATCTGAGACAACCAAATATGATAAAAGAAATAGCCGGGGGTATGTTGAGATGTGGTAGCTAGTTGCAATCCCAGGATATCAGTTTTGCTGGGAGGAAACATGTTCAATTCCACTGGATGCATCATCGCATGTGGTCGACAGTCCCATTGCTGTGACCTTGCCCATTCCAGGCAAGTGTGTGCATGCGCTGAGAATGCTGTTGTTGCATGGGACCAGGGCGAGCTGTGCTGTAAGACGGCAACCTTGTGCCCTGTGAATATGAAGAAGCTCTTAATGGGCTCTTTCGAGTCACCTGGCACCCAGCCTTCCCTTGAAGACCGGGAGTTGGAGAAGCGTTGGGATGAAGTCTTGGTGAGTCCAACGAGTGTGAAATGTATTCACTGCAGTGGCTTCCACTGTTTTCTTTCAGCTTTCTCTGTCCCCATGCTCCAATGACCTGCACTTGCAACAATGCGGAGCAGCAAGAGCAGTGACCAGAACAACAGAGCTAATGTGGGACACAGGATAGCAATCTACAGTGCCAGGTGCTTGTGAAGTGAGCTGCACATGCATACAGATAAGAAAGTATATTGGCCAGGTGATGGTGGAGTGGGCAGTGCATGGCCGCATATCAGGCAGGGCATTGACCATTTCAGCCCAAACTGTGTTCAAGGCAAGTCCAGGGTTGTATGGGCCATGTATGCAGTGAATATGGACCAGTCATGGGTTGCACAGCAGAAGTCATCGTGGCAGTAACTCAATCCTACGTCAAAGATATCTGAGCTCAAGTGTCATTGGCATGACAAGGTTTTGGCGGCCGCTATGCCAGGAGACCGGTCAGCTTTCCGTAGCCATGTTCTGGCAGCATGTGTAGAAGGAAAGTTTGGTGGGGCTGCTGGTACACCACACCAGCATTTGCCAGCAATTGACCTGGCTGCTGTTAGAAGACCTGAACAAATTTTATTGCATGGTGGTGTGGCACTCCAGTGTAGGTGTTCTGCGGGTACAAACGACCTGTTGCTGTTTGGTGCTGGCAGCACCACACAATGTAATTGGATATTGAACTACTTGCAACCCCACTGCTGTTCGAAGAAGTTGTGGTTACAGCACCCACCCTCATCCAACATGACATTCATGTGGCAAAAAGGAGTGCCAGACCTGCGACACATTACAGCACGTGGTTCAGTGCCAGCAGGACAGGACTTCTGCTGAAGAAGCTTGACCTTTTTGTTATCTGTAAGATAATATACAGATATATTGATGATATATGGATGTATAGATACAAATATCTGTGTATTTGTATCTAGACATCCATATATCATCAATATATCTGTATATTATCTTTATATTAGTGTTTATTGTGGAATTTGCCAGGTGTGCATAACCAAGTGTGGAGGTGTCATGGCAGATGTTTGATTGTGGTGTTTCTATGTTCCAGAAAACTGTGAGTTTGACAGGGAAACAGGAGGATATGGTGTTAGAGCTGAGGAGTGCATTCTTGCTGCGAATGAAGACACTGTGGCAGCAGAGGGCTATTCTCAACAGGAGGTTTCAGGCAAGTTTGCGCTCATCTCCTTCCCTGGCCTGCAGTGTCAACACCTTGTTGTGTTCCCATCCTGTGTCAACATCTAGAATTTGCACATTAAGCAACAAACTCTGCACTGTGGACCTTTGTGCCCTGCTCCAATAGCCTCTGCCAGCCACCAGCCTCCACAAACCCAATACCCTGTGCCAACTGCTGTGCCTGTTGGAATTGTGCTGGGTCCCTGCTGTGCAAGCTGGAAACTGGGAGATTTAGAGTTCCATATTTTTGGGAGTATCACACGCCACAATGTATGCCATAGCGATCGACAAAACACTTATGGCACAGTGTACACAAGCAACCCAGTGCACAGTGTGGGTGTGCTGCATACTTATGTTTACCTAACGGGTGCAAAGGTAGTGCATTGGCACTTCTTTGGCAACTATATTTCAGGAGATTCCTCAATGCTGGTAGCCCTCTGTTGTCAAGCTGCAGCATGAAAATCTAAACCGTGCGTGGTTGCCAAGTGCAAGATGCAATGGTTAGCCATGGAATATCAACTTCTGCTGACACGGGAACAGCATGAGAGAGTTTCTGCGCTGAGAAAGGGCAGGTTGCAGGCAACAAAATGTGGCGATTTGTTCTGATATTAGAATATTGGAAACTGCTGAATCCTCTGCTTTCGGAACAATAGCTTCCCCGTTCCTCTTCATATGTGGCAATTGCAGGGCTGTCTGTTAACCTCCATGCTTCTGTTTCTTTTGCACAGGAGTGTGTGGGGTTCATTGAAACAAGGGATCTGTCAGGCACCCAAAGTTCAGGGACTCAGAGCACATGCAGTGCTTCGCTGAAGGTAAGAACCCTATTTGCGACCGGTGGAATGCCATTTTGGCTGTTGTGCCATATGTTGGGTTGCACATGGAGACTGGCAATGAAAGGGCAGTCTTTGAGTCAGGTCACGACATCTTATTGATGTTATGCAGCTTGGCAGGTGATGAGAGGTTATAACAGAACGATAATGGTGTGGAGTTCTCATCACATCGATCCAAAAGAAAACATATAGCTTGGCTGTTGTGCCCATCTCCGGATGTACGTTGGTACCTTTCTTGGATCGCAGGTTTTCTGGGCTTGACAAAGGCTGAGGGGTTTGGACGTGCCGATACAGCAAGGTGTTGTGTTTGGTAGACCAGAGTTGCATGTGCAATGCAGGACTTGTCCTCAACCTCCACAGTGTAGAAAACCCATCTGTAGACAACTGTTTCGCAGAGTTCATTCGCCTTGTTATTTGCAGTCCTACCTGTAGTGTGCTGCTCATTATGCACTGGCCACCACAGTACCATCTTGCATGGTTTGGGCAAAAGGGTTGACGAGTCGCTTGCTCTGAAGGGATGTGCTGCAGAAGAAATCAAGGACAAATGGTTTGGTGTCTCAATTCGCTGACTGCATCTCAGGCAGCCGAGGATCGAGAAAAGCTACCATTCAGATGTATCTGCATGCTCTTGGATGTGTCTCTGCTGAGCTCTTGGCTTGTTGTTGCCAGGTTGCAGAGATTGTTGAAGAGCTGCGAGATAGTCTCCATCGTGAAACACAGTACCATTACGACTTCATAAGCTCGTTCTTCCAAAATGTGAGTGTGCAGCAACTGCACTGGCTTCCTCTCTTGCCTTGTCCACAGACTTCTAAATCCAAAAGATATGGGCCGCAGGCACCTGAAACACGAACTGCAAGACCAAGAAGAATGGAAATTTTGAGAAATGGGCTGTGAACACCCTGAAAACAGTCTGTGGAGATTTACAAAAGTTCGGGCTGCAGTGTACAAAAGGGGCCTGACGAAACATGTGTTTCCAGCTAGAGTAAATGCAGATCCTGTGCTCACGACAACACACGTGATGTATCTGTGGACTGCACAGCCCAATCTCTCACCTTCAGGAGATAGATCTCAAATTTTGACTTTTGAGGGTTTATGGTCAATAAACAGGCAAAAGAACAAGCTGGGGATGCACAAAAAGTAGAGGTCTTTTGTCACAGAACGGCCTTCAAGCGCTTGGGAACTGGCCTGCACGTACATCTTGGACAATGGCTGTTAGTGCATCCAAGTGGGCTGGGCTTGCACAAGAGATGGGCTGTGAATACGCATGGAAGAGAGCAGGCTGCAAACACACAGGAACACTCTGGTCAACTGAATGCCAGAATGTGTGGCGTGTTCTGTACTCCAATGGACCTTGCTTGCATCGCAGGTCAACTGCCTGTTTGCAGACTCACGCTGACGTTGCCGTTGGCAAAGTTGTCATTCAGCAACTGTGATGAGGACAGTGGAACAGATGCTTGGCAGTCACTTATGCCAACTGCTTGCTGGGATTGTTTTGCAGGTGGTGGATGACATGCAGGCTGCCCACCTTTGTGTCCAGTCATATCCATACTACCCGGACATCCTCGTGATTTCAAATATCCTGGCGGCCGAGAGGGGGGTGCAGTTGGACTGGCTGAAAAACGAGCAAGGCCAGTGACTGTGGGATGGATTGTTTGCCGATAGGCTCCAAACCTACGCGAAGAGACTGTGCGGAATCTGACAGAGGATACTGTGCAGAGACTGGAGCGTCAAGCTGCATGGAAAGTGGTTGACACTGTGCAGGGTTGGCTGGGAGGGCATGCTGCAGGTGTTGGGGGGAGGTTGCTGGTGTGGCTGGAACAAGGCTCCAGAACCATGGCAGTGCAGCGCAGCGTTGGCTGTCCAGAGCAGAAGCAGATTTTGAGTTTGTCGCTGTGGACATTTTGGCAGGAGCACGAGCGGAGTCGCCGTTGCCACTGCAGCGGTCTCCCAGTCTCACAGATGCTGATGAGGCCTCAGCAATTGTCTACTTATCTGTAGATCGCTGGTACAAAAATGGCAGAGTGTTGTGCATTGCATGCTGCAGTAGTGGACTCCCGTTGGTGCTTTGTAGCAGTTCTGTCATGGAGATTTGATGGGATATGTATACTGGGGAGCCGGCAGTGCTGTTGTTTGGCATTTGCGCTTTTCGTGCTTCCTTCCAGACGTTAGCGTGACCTTGTGTTTTTGCAGGCGCCACATGGACTCATTGGTGCAACAGAACGGAGACACTGGGATATTGGTTGTGAAGAAATTAGTAGTAGCCATTGCTTGATCAGCGGCATTTGTGTGCCGCATGTCCGCTGGCAGACGAGTTGAAGATTCCACTGCGCTAGTTTGTACTTGTTCTTTTAGTTAGAAAGGAAGGGTTGGTGGGCAAGGGTTGCGTTGGTAGCATACACTTTAAATGCTCATGCAGCACACCCGCTCTTCGGTCCATGTAAGATTACATTGGACCTTGTTGCGCATGAGAATTGAAGTCCACTCGCCGCAACTAGGGACAGGGCATGAATGGCTGCTCAGAGAACCCCTTTCTCTGTTAAGCATTTTGATGCAGTTATGTTCAAGCGGCCCTTGAGTTGCCGATGATCTTGCTCAGCTATCGTGCTGTTTCTGCGTTGTTCTTTATTAGCCTTGTAGTACCGTAAGGTGGATGCGATCGGAATTGCATCGTTGATGGAATCGAGGTGACCTGAGCGTTCAGCTGCGACGAGCTGAAACCCGCAAACTGCATTCCCGTCCGTCTGCAAACCTGCAGCTGTCCCAGCACTGCGTTGAAGGCGACTGCCCACACAGTATCTTAAGCATTGCACCAGGTGTGTCAACACCATCCATTCCATTCCTGATCGAGGGGCAGCTTCAGTTTTGCGGATGTCATGCCGATTGCCCTCCAAAAGGGAAAGTGTCAGGTAGTTGATGTGCAGGTGGACATGTGAACGCATGTGTGTGCTGGTCAATGAATGGCCATTGTGCTGACCAGCTGGACCCATCCTCTTGTGTGCAAGAGCAGTGCCTTGTCATGATTTCTGCCAACATAGCTTACCAGGGGGCTGGGAGGTCGGTGGGTGGTGGGTGAGGGAGACACCGGCTGCACATTTAATGCTGTATGCTCTTGCTCTTGTTTCTTGTGAAACTGCACGTTCTTTAGCGTGTGCACTTGTGGTACCTTCCTTTTTTTTTGGTGTGGGGGGGTGGGGGGGGGAGTTCAGGAAACATTGGCCTCAAAGGCTCGCAACCTTCAGCAAAAGGACTTCAGTTGGAGCATAGACCACATCGCTAATTTGACGCCAGTAAAAACCGCACCACCGTACACCGCCCTGGGTACGGCCTGAGACGGGCGAGGCGCTGAGCTACGGTTCTTTGGCCGCAGAATGAAAAATAAGTGTCTCGCTCGCTTCAAATTATATGCACGCCTAACGGGGCCGCATCCCTGGGGATGCTGTTGTAACTGGAACTGATCGAGTACATTAATAGCTGGACGCATAAAGAGGTGACGAGGCATTAGCGATTGCATCAAGGACATTCATGAATGGACCGGATATAAGGGACGGAACTCCAGTCCCTCCGTCGCCCACGATCCCCATTCTAGGGTCGCCATCCCTCCACCATGCCTACCCACGTCAGTGCAACGTGTCCTTGCTGTCTCGCGACCACTTTCCGGCGGAGAATATATTACTCCCCGTTCTTGTTTGCTGAGATTCGGTTCTTGTTCCGCTGACAAGGCTAGTCCCGGTGCGTGGATCAGTAATTGGGGTTTAGGGTGTCCGAAACCAAGAACCGAATCTCAGCAAACAAGAACGGGGAGTAATTTTATGCCTTTCCGGCGCCTCCATGTCCGACGTGCCTGCCGGTCAGCTCCCCGGCAGACGGGCGCATCGCCCCACCGTCGAGCCACTTTCCGAAAATCCCCAATAGCTGGCACCCCAAAAACCCCATCCCAGGAGCGCGGGCCCGCCCCCCTGCGTGGACAGCGGCGCCTCAAAACGCGGCGACCGCGCGACGATGGCTGCAAAACAGGGCTCCACGGATCGGTGCATCGCTTTCGAAGCGATGACGGCATTGTCCGCCGCCTGCCCGGTTCGCCTTTCGTGAATCGATTCGCAAACCCAACGTTCTCGGGCTTCAAGGAGGCCGGCCTTCCCCTCGGTGGAAGACAAGAGCGCGGATCGGTGGCGGGATCGGATCGGTCGCGGGATCCCACGCGAGACCGGCCGCACGCTTGCCTTGCCCCGCTGGGAGAGAGGGGGGCCGGCGGCATGGCGACGGCCGGGAGGGTGAAGTGCGCGCTGTGCCATGCGGCGGAGGGCGTGGATGACGGGCGGCGGGGTCCGTTCCTGGGGCCTGTGGTGGACGGGCGGGGCGGCAGGGCCTGCTACGTGCACCGCGCGTGTGCGCTGTGGAGTGCCGAGGTGCGCGCCCCCGCCTTGCGGACGCAGCAAAGCGGTAGCGCACGAAAATGTCATCTGGGGGCAAGGTGTCAGCGCGCATTAACTGTGTTCGTCGGAGCACGGCGGAGCGATGCTCTTGTGGCTGGCGGCCGACGTCGGGCGCACCGTGAGGGAGGGGGGGTGCACGGGATTGTTGGAATTCAGTTGTCGAATTTTGACGAGACGCGGGCCTTGCCGCGTGGGGCACGTCGGGCATGCAGGCAGAGGGTCCGGAACGCGATTTCCGTAAACGCCAAGGTCCAACTTGGGAGAGATTGTGTATGGATGGTGTTGGGAGGGGTCTGCTGATACTGTTGAGCACTCGCTGGGTTTTAAAGTTTCATGTTGAACTCTTCCAACAGGCGAAGGGAAGACCCCGCTCCCCCCTGCCCACCCCCAACACCACCCGGAAATGCGCATCTGAAATTCTTGGAACCGTATTTTGCTGCTCATGGCGAAGCAAACGACCTTGTACCAGACAGGCACAAGCAGGGAGCGGATACGCACGTTTGGGACAGCGAGTGGTTTTCATTCAGGCCTGTCCATCATATTTAGGTTTCTTCACAGGTCTTGGGCCGTTCCCTGGATGCAGGTGTACCAGACGGAGCGGGACACCTTCAAAAAACTGCTGCAGGCAGTGAAGAGAGGAAGATACATGAAGTAGGGCCGCTGAGAGTTCTGGCGCTGTTGTTTAGATGGGGCAAGTGACAGAATGTGTTAGATTCTTGGACAAAGGCCTCATCTTGGCGGGTCCAATGTCTAGGTCAAGCACCAACAGCACCTGAACATTATCCCTGGGAAGATTCTTTTGTCATTTGGGGTTTTGAGAGTTTCTGGGCGTGCTTGTGAATTTAGGGGACCCACGCCGCTTGAGATGTAGAGCAGAAACGAACCCCTGCCAAATCTGTTTGATGGGCGATGCATGGCTCCCTGCATTGATTCCCTGCCCATCTATTGTCCCCAACTTTATAGGAATCAAGCCACAATGCATACGTATGGGATACTTTGTTCAAATCATGCATTGAGTTGGTTATATCTGTAAAGTTATCCTACACAAGCAGCCTGTGCTCACGTACCCCTGGCGCACTTTGTCCATTTGCTAGGGTTTTATGTCTCAAGTTTTCCATAACCAATTAATAGATGCATGCTTGTCCTCTTGCTCCTGGAGATTTGTATGGGACCTTCTCAAATGGCAAATGCATTGCTCTGGCACGACCGCTTATGAGATTCAGCACTGGGCAGGCAAGGATTGGACGCTTGTTCTGGAGCTTGCAAACTGTTTGTATGGAGGCTGCCCTTCTGAACAGGACATTTCCATCCAAGTATAGTTGTGCACAGTAGTGAAAATGATGGCCAACCGTGTGGCCAGCGCTTGTATTTCATTCCACAGTGTCCCACTGTGCAATGTACACCTCCTTTCCCGTGAATGTTTTGGATATATGGTGCGACGACCTTCTCTTGATGATATACAGATTGTTTGCGCTGTGTCCTTAGGTGCACGTACTGCAACAGAATAGGCGCAACCATTGGCTGCCACGTCGAGCGGTGCATGTGCTCCTACCACCTTGACTGTGCTCGTCTTGCTGGCTGCACCTTCTCTATTTCCAGTTACTCCATCGGTTGCCCCAAACACCCCCAGAAAGAGCAGCCCGTCAAGCTTGCAAGTGGGCCGGCAGCAGGCCTTGTGCGGGTAGCCACAGATCCGTTGGCGCCCTGGAGGGTGACCATCAAACCATCGTTGGATTGGAGGCCCAGCCAGGCAACGCCCCTGGGGATGGAGGGAGGCAGGGTGGGAGGCACTGAAGACAGGATCGAGTTGTCCAGAGGCCCACACGGTGCAGATCATGAGCGGCAGCCGGCTATGGAATATGGCCTCGATGACCGATTTCGGGAGGAGACGCTGCAGAGGTTCAAGCCCATGGTCGTTGGTGAGATGTGATGAGACTGTCTGTTGGATTGCTTAGCAAAATTGAGATATAGCACTGCCCTTGCAAGCAGAAAGGCAACGAAAAGTGCAACCCTACCATGTTGCCTGTTCAGGGTGCTCGTTCATTCACCCCATCACTGAGCTGTGATGGCAGCAGTTATCAGTGGTGTCTGTTTTCAAACAATGCCCAGATGCACAGGACTCCTGTGCTCCCATGTTGTCAGCGCTATGTGGCATGGAATCACGACTGGTGTGTTTGCGTTATTCTGCATCTGCACGGGATGCTTGCTAGGCTGGCAGGAACTGTAATTGGGGCAGATGGCATGCAAATAATGCGAAAGGCTGTGGGTCTGGAGGACAACATAGATACAGCAAACTAGCACGCTACCATAGTGTGCACCACAAGTTCAGGGTGACTCCAGAGTTCGTGAAACATGTGCACAAGGCATCGTGTGAACACTGCTGCATATGACCACGGTCATTGTCAGAATGGTGGTGTGCAGATGTAAGTTAGGTGTCAGTTTACAGTCTGGACTCATGCGCATAAGCACCTGCTGTTGGAAGACAGTCAACTGCCCAGTGTTTCTGGAACTTATAAATCGTTGCCATTTCGTCGTTCATTCACACAAGCATGTGTGAATAAACTGCTTTTCTTGCCTTGCGATTCCTTGAACCTGTGGGGAGTTATGTTGGACAGCAACAGACACAGTGGTTTCCATTGAGGTAAGGCGCTCAACACCTAGAATGTGCAATGGGGTAGCTTTGTAAATTTTTGTTAGTAAGTAAACATTATTACTAGTTGTTATTGGCATCATCATTACAATTGGTATTGCTGTAACTGCTGGAATTGGTATGCATTATTGTGCATGACGATGGTTGCTTGTAAACAGGCAGTCAATGGACTGACAATAGATTGCAATGCATTTGCCTGCAGGGGCTCAGTCAGGCATGCAGGACGACCCACAGACCCAGGCACTGCTGCACCAAGTTCAGGGCGGTTTTGAGTGTGTGGGTGGCCTCGAAGACGTTGTGCAGTCTCTCAAAGAAATGGTGATTCTGCCACTGTTGTACCCAGACGTCTTCAAGGAAGCCAAGCCTCCAAGGTTGCTGTCGGACGCAGATATTGCCAGTTGCTCAATAAGTGTTGATATTAATTTTCTCTGGTTAGAAATGTTGGGCATTATTGGAATCCATGTGGGAGCCCCCACCTCCCTACGCCCCTCTGCCTTCCTTTTCCTGAAGCCCTGTTGACCCTTGTTGAAAACTGGACAGCAACACTTGCTGCTGTCATTGAAGAAATGAATGCAAACTGTAAAGTAAATTGCAATGCCGTGTGCAAATCTTGCATCAAGCCATTTGCTTGATGCTTGAGTGAACAGCCAATTTCCCTTCAGCTGCATTTCTGCTTCTGACACACGAAAGAGTCTGGCATGCTTGTGACAACATCGGTATCTAGGCATTTATTTCAAATGCCAGATGCTGGATGGGATAACAATGGTATCTTCTATGTTTTGTTGAAACATTGCAATCGATGTGTTGATGCCTGGGCTTTCTTGGATTTGGTGATTGTTGTGGTTTTGAGTAGATTGTTGAAGTATCCAATGCATGCCGTATTGGATTGTGGGGATGGTCCAAACTGTTCTGCACTGGGTGGCCAGAAATTCTCGTCCCAATTGAGGTTCGACCTAGCCCGGCCATGTGGAGGCTCGATCTAGTCCAAGTCAAGGGAAAACCTGGTCCAAATAAAGGTTCGATGGAGTCCAATGTCTGATGCCCTTGAGTTTGGTATTAGGGGCTTTTTGGGATTGGGGTTCGTTCGTTTTTGGGTTTAGAGTAGCATACCCTCATACCCATCATGACCTTAGGGCCTTTGTGTCCGGAAGTGAAGAGTATCAGAATTGGACTAGGTCGAACCTCAGTTTGGACTAAGTTGAGACTCAATTTGGACTAGGTTTTCCCTAGATTGAGCATGGCCTATGTTGAAACTTATTTGGGACAGGTTTCACCTCTGTGCCCCATTGGGTTGGCGCCCTGCTGAAGTTTGCTGCATCTTCCTTGTGTGAAGGGGAATATTGCTTCATGGCCCACCAGGAACTGGCAAGACCCATGTTGTGCGCTGCCTGATTGGCGAGTGTGCAAAGTGCTGTGCACAGCCTGTTGCATTCTTCTCCCATAGGGCTTCGGAATGCCTTAGTGAGAATGTTGGAGAGACGGAGGAAGCACTGAGGACTGTCTTTGAGGAGGTGTGCCCTTACTAGGTTTGTTTATGTTTTTTACATTTTCTTGGCTGACTTAAGTCGGTCTTTGATAGTTGTGTATCTTGTTGTTGAACAAGGTTACTGGGAAGAACCAAAAGAGCTGGTGCTGCTACTTTGGCAGAGGAGCAGCGCCTTTGCACACGTGGACAGCATAGTCATGCAGCTCATTTGGGCACCATGGTGTGGAACTGAGAGTTGCAGTGTCTGTACTGACTTTAGCTTCCTGATGAGCTACGAGTGGCAACATGAATGGCATTCATGGAGACACAATTCTGCCGAAATCCTTGTAGAACTTGTGTTATGAAGCTGGGGTCGTGTGTGCTGGTGGCTGTGGCAACAAAGCCAATATCAGCAATAACTTTTGAGTGCACCTGTGTTTCATCAGTACCATCTTCTCTGAGATATGGGCAGCTTCATTGCTTCACTGCAATTGGGAGATGTGTGCTCCAGGGTGACTGGAAGAGGAAGTTGGGCTTTGAGCCATCATCGCAAAAATTGTATCTTGAAAGCTGCTCCACAACTATTGTTGAATGTTTTCAGGCTTGCAGGCTTTCTCCCTCAATAGTGTTTCTTGATGAGCTGGACGCGCTGGTGCCTGCAAGGAGTGAGGGCGCAAGTGAGTGGGATGTCAACTCGGGCTCTGTGGTGGCCACAGTGCTTGCACTAATGGATGGCCTTGATGACAGGGGGGCAGTTACAGTCATCGGCGCAACCAATCGGTGTGTTTCCTCTGGACTGGCGGCAAAACATTTAGTGTGGGAGCATGTGGTGATGCAGCTGGTAGTGTCCCTGAAGTGGATCGTAAAGGAACATTGAAATTACATGCAGGCAAGAAGCTTGCACAGTCTATGCTGTCTATTGGAAGGTGCAGCACCACATGCGCAGAATGGTCAACCAACTCAGAGTGCTCGTTCACCACGGCTTTGGGAGCTTTGCCATTGGCTGTATCTTTGTTAGCATAGCCTGCAGATTTCATTGTTGATAGCGTGTTGCCATGCATGTAGCACCTGCCACACACGTATTATCTGCCAATTTGTGCCATGGTGCCTGGATCCATGTTGAGTTGCTTCAACAAAAATGCTCATGGATGCACCTTGTTGCTGCTCTCATACACCTTCGCACATTATGTTCGGAGATCGCAAGGAATTCATTTGTTCATAAGTGCACATGTTGCCCTGAAATTGCTTGGATTTCATTTGTCAAAAACTCTTGGCAAGCAAAGGCCTTGCACCTTCCATGCTGTGACAGTACTGAAAAAGCAAAGAAAATGTCCAATCAGTGTTGTTCAATGTCTCAAAGTCCAAGAGTTCGCTCACAATCTTTTGCAGAGGTGGTAGAAAATACAAAATGAGAGCAGTAGCGGCTGACACAATAACATGGTTGGCCAGAAACTGGGGTGGCCCCAAAAGCTTGATGTACTGCCTACATCTGCAGGAAGGGTGCATTGGATCCTGCATTGCTGCGATCTGGTCGGTTTGATAGGGAAGTCCTGTTTAAACTTCCTGACGCCAGGAGCCGGGCTGCTGTGTTGCGGGTGCACACCAGAGGATGGAGGCATCCACCCAACGAGGAGACTATTGCCGATCTTGTACGCAAGACTCAGGGAATGGGAGGTGCGAGTCGAATGGAACACATCCACCATTGATCTTCCTTTGTCAGAGTTGATCCTCAAACTCCTTATCGACTACATTTGTTGAAACCTGTAAACCTGTGGTAAATCCACCACATTGCTTGGCGATGACGAGTGCTACTGACCAGAACAGTATTCCAACCCATTTCAGTTGCTTGCACTCATCTCTCAGATCCCAAAAGCTAATGCCGATGTGCAACTCTGGGTGTCGCAAAACAGCCAAGCAACCCTCCGCTGCTGCACAACTGACTCCTGGCTGACTGACACCCTGCACCAGGTGCAGATCTGCGGCACCTGTGTACATTGGCCGTCATGAACGCTGTCCGTTCAGAGTTCCCCGGTGTCCTTGATGCGGCCTGGGGCGACGATTCCCACCAGGACAATGCCTTCAGGCTCAAGAAACAGTGTGTGCTCAGCTGTCTGCGGGTCTCCCCCGGGACTTGGAGCCAGGCGTTGCACGAGTGCAAGCGTGGAAAACAGGAGCTGCTGTCACGGGCCCACGCACCCCGCCCGATGCCCTACCGGCTCATGGCGGCTCTGCTGCCGGCTGTTGCGAGGGTGCTGTGCAATCTCACAGATCGCTGCACTGCTGTGCCTCTGACGCTGAAGGAGTGCGCTGAACTGGGGAGCTTGTACTTGAGGGGCCCTGTGGCGCGGAGGTGGGGATGCTGCACTGTGATTATGTTTGCCCAAAGTGACAAGGGTGCTGCACATGCACATATGAGGCGTTGATGGTTGCATGCCCAACATATGCCTTGGACATTATTGCACATACATGCATGCTACATATGTGCACTTGCAAGACACTGCTGGGCACACGCAAACATACAGAATTTGCTATGAGTGGGAACCCCACAGAGCACAACTTGAAACCAAAAGGCTTGGAGGTAGAGATGGGTCAAAGCAGCCCTCTCAACGTGCCATGGTTCCAAGGGACTGAGTTTCGAGCTGTTGCAAGCATGAACAAGGCCATTTGCAGCAGTGCAGCACATGCAACAGCGATTTGTGTCTGCAGTGTTTGTCCATGGAGCCAAACTGGCCAGATCAACAGGACTGTATGGCAGAAACCCAGCTTATTGAGTGTGTCATGTGCACAGTCAATATTTGGGCAGTGGGGAAGAAAAGGACAAAGCACTGCCCTTGCACCTTCAATACGATCAAGGGTGTAATGAAGCAGCAACCCACTAAACACTGCTGGTCCAGAACTGGCTGAATGGGTTGTCATTTGGTGCACTTGGAACCCAGGCGATAAAAGGCAACTCTGCAGTTTGCCCTGTTGTTGTGACCATCCAAAGAGACACGAACCACTGCTCTGTGCTCAAGTCTGGCTTATAGGAAAGCATGTTGTTGTGTTGCCTCAAGAGAACAATGCTGCAGAGTTTTGGGCATGGAATTATTTCCGGTCATGGTTCTCACTTTGATTACCTGTGTGCATCAGAAAGAGTGTGGAGGAGGAGCTGTGCCGGAAACTGCAGGAAGTTGGAGCTGTCACACTGACTGATGGCACCATCAGGCCCACAGGCAAGTGGAAGAGAGAGAAACTGCTCTTCTTTGTGTATTTACCAAAAAGTGTCAACCATAGTCCTTGTATCTGTCCCTGCCGTGCTTGTCTCCTTTCACAAGGAATGCCCTAATTCTGTCAGCTTTGTTTGAAAATGTCCGTTGATATTAACACACTTGGCAGGCGGTTGGGAAACGCCCAACTGCGCTGTGACATGTTTGTCACAATTGCATAGTTGGGCACAACGAATGAACATTAACTGCCCATTATCGCGTTGTGGGTCTTTTGAATTGCATCTGCCAGCACCAATTTCTGGCCATTCCGATGCATCGCCTGCACTGCAGCACGATGGACAGGGCCAGCATCGGCCTGATCCACAGACCTGCCCAGTCTGTGTTCCTGCTCCACTGACAAAACGGTGCTGAGCAAAAGAACCCGCCAAGGCTGGTTGAGTTGGTGCCATAGAATAGCTCACTCCAGATGTGGTTCTATGGGCTCAAGATGCTGATCTGATGAATAAAGTGCAGTCTGGATGGTGTTAAGCAGGCCATGTGAGCATTGCACTTTGTCAAGTTCACAGCCAGGTTGTCCAGGTCCAGGAGTGGCTGATGTGTGTCTTGTGCCACTCTTGGTCTGGACGTTGCCATGCTGATGGAAATTATCACGGGCAATAAACTGGACAGGTTTCACAGGGCAAATTGCTTGCTTGCTTGCAAATATTTCGTGAACTGCAGCCTGCGAAAACTGCAAAAGTACTTGCTGCTTGAAAACTGGCGCCCATGCAATGCTGCCTGGCTTATTGTGATTGATTGTCAAGACTGGCCCTGCGCCAACCAAGACACCAGAAACATACAGCAGCCATTTGCAGAACTCTTGCTTTTGTCTTTTCTGGTTGGCAAATTTGAGGAAAGCATATCCAGATGTCTTTGAATGCGTACAAAGCCAGACGTTTTGTTGGGGAACCAAGCACTGATCAACAGGAATGGAAACATAACATCAGAAAGTGCTGAACCCACTTTGGAAGAGAAATGAAGTAAAACCAGGCGAAAGAACAAAAATCCTGCACAGGATGGAAAGAGGAAAAGGGGAAAGGAAGGCAGTGAATGTTTGGTGCTAGTCTTACCTTGATGCATTAACTGCACTGACCACGACTGTGGAGCGAAATCTTTTCATCAAACTGGTGCACAGCCTGGTAGTACGGAATATGCGCGTTGTTGATCCACATATAGTGTGGATCTGCAATGATGATACAGAAGGGCATAGTTAGTTAAGGAATGAGGCCAGAGCTGAGGAAATTTATGTTGAACTTTCCCTTGTCAGAGTTTTCTCCTCCAACATATGCTGCAGGTCAAAGGGAGGCTGGTAGCAGGTTCTGCAGTTCATCAGTTGAAGTCTTCACAAAGTGTCGAATGTTGATTTGTGGTGAGGGAGTGGTGGGTCAAGAGGAAGTGGCTGGCTGCGCCCTGCGTTTGCTGTCCCATGGTGCTGCAGCTCCAACGGTGGTCACTGTACCATGCCTGGTGGAGAGTGGGGGCCCTGACCTGCTGCACGGCTTCCGCGTGCTGCTTGACGATGCCTTGCAGTCAACACCACAGGGCCATCCTTGCTGCCTGTACATCCCAAGGATTGAGGTATCCAGACATTGCACCCTAACACATGTTTGGAAATGTACAAAATGAAACAACGAATATACTTGGTTGTCCCAAAATCAAATGAAACTCAGAGACACTTGAAGACAAGCTGTTCCATTTTGGTTGCCACATTGTTTTGTTGACATCTGCACACCATGTGGCCAATAGTCATTCTTTGTGACGGTTCCGCTGCCTGTGGATGCCTGTGAACATTGAATATTCAAGGAATGAAAGTGATAATCTGCCAAAATTCCGGCTTCCTGGGCACCCAGGTGCTGTGCACATGTGCGTTTGGCTGGGCATTGATACACCAGGACATTCTGAGGCAATTTGCAAAGTATTTGCATCATCTTCACAAGGACTGTTGGACATGTTATCAAGCTCCTGTTGTGTGTTCCATGTACCTGGCAACTGCACATTAATAGCCAAGTATCGCCACACTTTGCCACTGCCACGCTTGCAAGTGCTGTAGGAGTTGCGTTCCTGACATACAATGCTGGGCTTCTGATGTGCACCCCTGATGTGTTGTAGGTCTCCAATGTGTCCCAGACTGGATTCCTAGTTCTCTACATATCCACCTGTTCAATCTTTCTGATTCCAAGTGTTGCATCACAGTTGAAACTCCACATGCCAGCTCCATGCAAATAAAGAGATAGTGGCTTTTAGCCACCAAACGGAAAAATGCGTGGCGAACTAAAATCTGATAGGCTGTTCATCCGAGAATTCCAAGATGTTCACGAAATAGAACAGATTAATACACGTAGGGGCCATAACAGATTTTGAGTTCTGTATCGATTGGCATTGTGGAAATTCTTAACATGTTTTGTGTCCTACTACTAGCCACACAATGTAGCTTGAGCCAAGGCATTCATTTGTACAAAACTCATGTGGATCCTAGGCAGGTACTGAGCTGAGCTTGCCCTTTGTATTTATTGCAGACATTGGGAGTTACTGATAGTGGATATCTCCCTCAGTGCTGTGGACTGGAGAGCGATGCCTCAGAGTGCACCACACCGTTGCGCTCTTTTCCTGACTGCAGGACATCTACGAGTACCAGTGCAATGTTCTGCCCAACTTCCGCCTTCTGCCCAGAATCCAGTTGTCAGTCGCTGTGCACCAGCAGCACAGCTGCCGATGGGGTTGAACAGACAGTGTCTGGCAAGGCTGCCAGAGCCAACTTGAATGAGTCAGACTTGCTGACTGTGTTCCAGGAGCTTGTAGAGCAGGTGCACACATGGCCCCCAACACAAGGCTGACTGCAACTGCAATTTGTTGCAGAATGTTCGTACAATGTATGTGCACTGCACAGTTGTTCCATAGTGAGATCGAAAACTTACCACTGTAGTATTCTGCATGAAACAGGGATGGCCATGATATTCACCAAGGAGTAGAAACCGGTCTCTAACATTGGCATTGAGCATCATCCACAGAAGTTGCTGTGTTGCTGAAGAGGTGCCCAAAAAGGTATAGCAGAAGAACTCGATGCAGAACTCAATCAGCGTTATGCTAAAAACTCCCAACCATGTGGATGATGGGCAGAAATTGATGTTGTCGTTGTTTATTGTCACCAGACATACCAACAGTTGAACATCAAGCCTCAGTCCCATGCAGCTGCCAATTGCTAACGTCCATGTCCAGGCCTCTGCCTCCAGTTTGGGGTGGACATCTTGCTCAGAAAGATAAACCAAAGTCAGCCTCTTGCCAGAGCCCCTGGGCCTAAAAGAAGGGCTGCTGTATAAAGACAGGATGGTCCAAAAGGAAGGACAGCTCCAGGTCACAATGGTAGATTGGCAAAGGAGTCACACCCCTGGTGCATTGTTGGTGTGAAGTCGACTTCCCAGACACTGGCAAATGGCACGCTGCAAGGCAGAGCCACACAACAGCAGTTTCTTTGGATTGTGCCGTGGAACATGAGAACAATTCATTTGGGTTGGTTTTTACTGCTGTGAACAGCCCCCAGCATCTTGTAACAAGTTCAAGGGCAGTGGTTTGTTACGTGACAGTTGGTGTGACAGCCAGGCATTGCATGAGTGTATTTTCTGACAAGACAGGAGAACTATGTGAGATGTTGCCTTTTTGCGGCCTGTGCAGGTTCCTCCCTCCCAGCCACTTATCGTTCTTGCAACAATGCACTGCGCAGCATGCGATGTGCCACCCTCGATGGCATCATTCTTTTCTCCAGAGTGCATGGGCACCAGGCGCCCGTTTCAGCATTCGGTGCCAACGATCGTGGAAATTGGTCAGAGCGACTACTGCAGGGCCATGGACATGGAAGCGCGCATGCAAGCCGAAGTGCATCAGCGACTTTGTCTTGATGGGCTGGTGGACGTCAACAGGAAGGGCAACATCGATGCAGAAGCAGAGAAGGTTGGTGAACGGACAGCTGTTCAAGTCAAGCGGCAGTATGCAGCATAATGCACAATTGCTACTGGTAGTATGAGATTGTAAGAGCTCCAAAGCTGATTACGACTTTCCAACAAGTGTAGTATATTGTGCTTGTGTGCTGTTATGGCTCTTTTCCACCTAAACATGCACGGATAGAAGCTTCTCATCAGCATTCAGATGTGCTCACTGGAAAATTGTCTTGTGAATGTTGCTGTATGTGCCCATGGGACCCCTCAGATGGTCGGCAAATGATCTAATTCTTGATCACCAGAACTGCACAAACCTGTTTTGTAGGTTTGTTGATTGCCAGCATTGCAAAGTGTTTCCCAACATTTCGACTTCCCCCAAATGCTCCAAATGTCCATTCAGCATCAGCCCACTGTTTCAATCTAAGTTTGATGCATGGCAGGTTGGCTCAAAACACTGTGCTTGTAGCATCACAGCATCAGAATGGTTTCCATTTAACAAGGCTACTTGATGTGCTGACGAGATTATGAATATGGTCGGTTGAGACCATTTGTTGGTAGAGAATACATCAACTAAAGACTTGGTGTCCATCTGCCTCAGTGGTGTGAGCCTACGCTATGTGGACTTACAGCTGTGGGACTTGCAGTAACTTGCTTTTGGCAACTCCTGGCATTGGCCAATGACCATGGTTCAAGAGTTTGTGGGCCAGTGAAGTCTATGCCCTGGCAGTGCATGTGTTCTGCCACCAATTTCTTGGAGCCTGGAATTTATGAATCCCAGTTCAGCGCAGAAACACAGTTCCATTTAAGCCTATGATACGCACCCCATAGGCCAGTGTGTTAAACATATTGTGCATGTTGGAGGAGACACACTCGGTATCTTGCGCAGACTAGCAGACCACAGCTGCAGGCCAGCCGTTCCAGGCTCGTCTGCCATAATCCTTCATTGGGCAATGCATGTTTTTGAATGCCACGTGCAATTCCTGACCAGTTGGCGCCTCTACCACAGTCAATACATCATTCTGCATCCACCAACGGCACCAGCACCCATCCAGAGTATCAACTGCCATTGTTGTCACTTTTCGTTGTGTCTGTTTGCCTGCTATGATTCCACCACTTTGCTTTAATTTTCTTCTCGAATGGGCGCTGCAATTTGGGCCTGACAGTCCTCTTGTGGCACACCAGGATCTTGTGCTCCAGGACAACAGCAATAAGGTCCATCAGTACCACCTTCGCTCGTGGAAGTCTTCCAAACATCGGCACCAGCCTTCCCGACGGCGTGAGCATCACCCGTGTGGAGGGCTTGCAGATGCAGAGAGACAACGTGCTCTGGAGCAGGTCGGCAAGATTGCCAAAGGGCAGCGTATGGTGCATCCTAGGAAGATGAATATTTGCTGGTCTTGCACTTTGTAGGCGATCCCAGAAGTCAAGCAGTCGCTTGCATCATGCCGAGCACAGAAACTTCAGCATCATTGCTTTGGGCATTTTTGCTGGTATAGCGCCGCTTTATCGATCCTGACCACGGCAATCGTGCACGATTGCCCACTATATAAAAGTGCTTCTGCCGGGTAAGAATCTACTTTGCTACCACACTGTTTCATGAGTGGAAAACCACATACTCTATCGCAGTCTTTGGTGCCTTTATTGTTGAAACGCTTATTGCTGGCCTATGATAGGTATGTAGTCCTGCTTAGAGCCCAGCTAGACAGAACCATCCGCCCACTGCTGGGTGGTTAGCAGGGAGGAATTGGAATTGGGGCGCAGTGCGGGTCGTTGCTAATTCCACAGCTTCCATTTCGCATCGCTGCCGGGCTTGTATGGCGTGTGAATGTCTGTTGTGTGGGGAAACACTGTGCTGTGACATCTCCAACTATAACAACGCTTTGCAATCCTCTGCAATGCGCTGGCAAACATAGTTCCAATAGTTGTGTTTGTTCCAAAACATTTGTTCTTTTCCCAGGCATCCAAAAGCCTTGACGTCCTGAAAGAAAATGTAGCTCAAATAAAGCCTCAAATGTGAACCCCCCACGTGTCCTCTGGCAGACCAGTGCCGCACACTGAAGCGATCTCCTCTATGGCGTTTACGCTACACCATGCTGGTGTGTACAATGCACACGGTGTTGTGCTCTAGCGTATCAATGCCTTTGGGCTTTGTGAACGCAGCAATGAAGTGCAACATGACTGACTTGACTTTGCAGGTGGCGGAGGCAGTCCGCTCATGTGGGAGGGCACTCCTGGATGACCCCCGTTCCAGGCTTGTGCATTTCCAGCCCGATGCCAGGCCGCAGCTGAGGCACAGGAGGACTGGAGGTGGAGAGCGGGACCCCCTCTTGACCCGCCAGCCGTCGCGCCGGCGGTCCAGCTCAACGGGCCAGTGGCTGAGCCTGCATCAGGTGGCAAGGGACGCAGCTGACGGCAGGTTTTCGACACCCGAGGAATTGTGCCAGGCGGTCAGCCGTGTGGTTAGGCCCCTGAGGTGGGAGACTGAAGGCATGGCCGTCGTTTGGGCCGCTTTGCTTCTCCTTGGCAGATCTGCATGTCTGCATTGTGCCTGAAATTGTGAAAGATCCGCAGCAGTAAAACTGCTGCAAGGACACCAGCCCACACGATTTTCTTTGGCAGCATGCGCTGGCCGCTGATTTGATGATGCCATTTTGGTTTTGCCCAGCAGAATGTTGAGAAATTGACTGCCAATCCTGTTATGCTTGTGTGTCAGGCGGGTGCGGCATCCGCTGCAGAGACGGTGGCAACGGTGGCTGGGGATGGCCATCGCAGATGAGATCAGCGAGTGGGCAATCGAGGCGTCTCGCGCGGCAGGTTTGTGACGGAAGGCCTTCCTCAACATCACATTCCCCACTGCAGTTGGTAAACGCATGACGATGCAGTGCTCGTGCGCCTAATAGGCTGTACCGGGCACTGTTTGCAATGAGCCATTCCCATTGCAGCGCCACGTGCCTGCGCATGCACCCAATTGGGGATTTAGGGTCTAGTTTGGGCACAAAGTTTAGAATTGTAGTGTTGTCCGGTTTTAGGCTCGACCACAGGAGGAACTGTGCCTAGGAGGTTGCAGCGGGGGAAGGCTGCTGTGGCATCAGCTTTGCAATATTGTGACGGGATTTCTTTGAAGGCGTTGCGAAGGTTCGCCGCGCGCTCGCCTGCACGGCCTTGCAGACGGCATGATGAAGTGTCCATTTAAGAACTCCTTCAGTTCATTCGCAATCGTCATCATCATCACTATCATCATCATTGTTCTTTACATAACAGAGCTTCGTGCACATTCACACAACGGGACAGGGCCCTTGTGCGTTGTGGCCGTAATGGGCACTTGCGCACCCAAAACGTGGGTCGCCAGTTACTAAGGAACAGCGGTTCGGAACTCGACGCCCCAACATTCTGTTCAGAGCGGCCCAAACTCTTGTGCAGCCGCCACCTTTGCCACCCCCGCCTCGATCGCCCCTGTTCGTTTTGCATGTTTGTGCCCATTGCGGGTCACTTTTCAGCAACTCATCCAAAAGCACCGTACAAATCTGCCCAAGACGGATTCAATTGATGATCAACAGGAATTGTTTTACGCCAATTGGACCCGTCTGCCGCTCTTGCCTGCCTGCCTTGTTGTTTTCCCAAACAACGGCTCGAACATGCTTGTCCGGTCATGGACCGCAGGTATAAAAGGCCCAGTTCTGCAACGAACGACCAGTGGAGCTGTGGTACCCCTTGGAGACGTTGGGGCTGCCGGCCACTTGCTGCACCTGTGTCTGGCGGATCGCACTGATAGAGGCACACGACACCACCACATCTCTGCCATCGATTATCGTCTCCTGTTTACAAGGCCTCCAGAGGCTGCATCAACACACATCTACAATGCCATCGTCCAGCCGTAGCACCACTCGCCAGCAACAGCCGCATACTGGCTGGCGTGCGGTCTCTGCATGGCGAAAGGCAACTAAGATGCCTACATCGCCTAGTCTCGCCCTTTGCGGCCTCAGTGTCCCCTCAAAACCAAAACCATCCGATGATCAGTGCCGATCTGCATTCCTCCCAGCCATGTATGATGGTATATCTGCAAGGAGTGCATTCGTTGACACGGAAAAGCACTGACCATGCATCTATGAGTCGACGCCAGGCACTGATGCGGTGTTTTGTGTTTCGTTGTAAAGCGTTCCGCGTCGCATCATTTGTTGCTCCCCCTCACCACTGAACATCTGAATAGAGTTGAATGGTTCAACTGTCACCACACGTGTCTTTCTTCCTCCCCACTCCCCATGGACATCAAGATGTCCGAGCATATCCGTCTACCCATCACCTTGATGGCTTGTCCACACTACCTTGCATCAGCCACAGCCAAGGCAATCGAGAAACACTTGTCGACTTTGACCCGAATGTCTTTGCTGTGCCAGCATGCAAGAGCAGACACCTTCTAGCTCCCCCTCTCTGCTGCTTTCCCTACACACTACAACCTCATGACACACTTGTGCACCATCAAGACAAGCTGGCACACATTTCCCTCAGGCAGTCACGACCCATCTGAGAGCGCCAGGGATGCCAGGAAGCATCATCGAGGGGCCCGGCACACTGACTTGACAAGAGGGACGAAGCCCCTTGCAAACTCCATGGTGGCCTTGGTGGACACAGAGAGGGCTGTTCCCAGGTACCCTAACCCTGTGAGCACAAAAACCAACAAAGCGAGGATCGCTTAGACATCGGTTCGAATGGAAACAACAGCAGGGCCCCACAGCAATGGCACAATCTTTTACAAAGCAGATTCATGACCAAAAGTTGAGTGTGTTTTATGCTTTGGCCCTTCAAACAATAGGACAGCATTTTACACAGTTGCCACTCTCCTGTTGCCAACCAAAAGGTGAACATGCTGTAACAACAACTTAGCGCCATGGCACCAGCCTATCCAATGTACCTACTATTCTTGTGTTCAAGTATCAGCACAACCAATGCCACCCTAAGTTCCCAATGCCAAACACCAGGATATTCTTGCTGTTCATCAGATTCAGTCGAGTTTTGATGCTCAGCCACGCCCCCTAGCTCACTGCCACGCCTCTTTTGTGTCCACCGCCTAAAACTTAACTCCCAGTACAGGGCAAACATTGTCCAACTGGAACATCTGAAAAGTGGAGAGACTCTGGCTCGTGCTCTGATTCATCTCTTCTGGACGCCCTCGTCACAAGGGGGGCTGGGATGCTCTTTTCGCCACCCATTGTGAGGTCCAAGCACACTGCCAGAATATGAAACGTTGCCTAAACGATGTTGCCTGGTTCAGCAGAGACACTTTGCAAACTATTGTGTCGTTTCTCACAATGTGTGTAGGGATACATTATTCACTCGTCGACTATGGCGCTTCCTTTTCCTAGACGTACATGGGAAATATCACGGCAGGTACAGGCCCCATCGTGACAACACCCATTTGCAACATAAGAAAAAAACGTCTTGCTCCCTCTTTATGGCATTTCCCCCCGTACCATACTTGCCATGGAAAGATTGATATTCCATCGTGCCACAACTCGAAACTTCTCTTCGTGTAATGCCCCCTGCTTATCCATGACTACATGCCTTACAATATCCCTCACCACCCAATGCCTCATGCAGCACACCTCGTGACTGCTCGCACCAGCCAGTGCCCACACCTTCCAGCACCCACATCTTCCAGTGCTGCATCTCCCTGTACTATCAATGGCAATATTGCTTGCCAGGTAAGGGGCCACTGTCCACCCTGCATTGGCTAACGACATGACATCCAAGGAGCACATGTGAAACGATACCCAAGGACTTCCATCACAGCTCACCGATCGCCAGGGCTTCTCCCGACAGGTCCACAGTTGTCCTCAAGATCTGCATGGAGCCCATCGTGAAGCCGTAGATGGCCCCAGCATACCAACCAAGTAGGATGGCGCCCACAAGTTCCATTCCGACAAGGGCACCTGAACCAACGGTGAGCAGGAGCACAGGCAGCTGCGCAAGCACACACTCCACTTCCTGAGATGCTGACCCAATGGCATGATGAGCACAATGAGCACTGATACATGGACACAGACATCACTCGCTGAGTTTGCATGATGCTGTGGCAGGACAAGTTGGTGATCAGTACACTGTCAACAAAAAAGAAGCAAACACAACACACTTGACACATATGGCCTCACAGCCACACTGTAGTATACACAATTGTGTGGCTCATCCCAGTGTACAGCTGGGGCAAGCCACCCAATTGCTCACTGCTGGCTGCAGTGCCTCAAGGCAACACATGTTTGCCTCTTGTTGACTTGGGTGGGGGGTGTGGTTACAGTCCTGTCCTCTGCCTTGCAGGTGGCTGCACAGATTGAGATATATTCAATTGCTGCAGGCCTGGCAGGCTGGGCAAGGGGCAGATACTGGCTGGTTTGCCAACCAACCCCACGAATTGCCCAGCACAACTTCTCTGCTGCATTGGATCTGAGAATGTTATGATGTGCATGGCTTACAACCTAAAGCAATCGCACAGCCACCCATTTAGATTCTTGTTGTCGGAACTATTGAACAGAACAACTGTCTCGATTGTATTCTATTTCGTTATCTGAACTCTCAGAAACAAAGTCATAATCGAAATGGCCATTCCATGCATCTTTTGAATATTTTGCGCTCTGGTTAGGAACATCAGGGACTTGACATCAGAACACACTGACGCTTAGCTGGTGCCCATGTCTTCCCGCGTGCCTTGCCCGTGAACCTTTGCACAGGCAACAAGTGAAAAAACGCTGCCCTGACCCGCAGATACAGGTCCAATCGCAGATGTCCAAAGGAATTCTGTGCATACCTCAAACCAATCAATGGGAGTATCATAAAGATTCCAAGCGATGCACCTAACCCACTTACCTGCAGGATGGGGAAAGCCGCAGCTGCCATCAGCACTTCTGGCCCGTATTGCAGCATCGCCTTCCCGTAGTACTCCACAGATCGCCAGGCAAGATGAAAGCCCTTCTCAAGGCCCATGACGCCTGTTTGGCCAGCATGCATCAGGCCATTCGCCAAAACCACCAGTTTCCAAGCCTGCAGAGTGAGGCATCGTTATGGCAGGTGTTGAAAAGTGGAACAGTGCCCTCATACACCCAGGGTGATTGCAGTTATGCTTGCTTTCATTGACACTCTCTGTTTGTGAGCAATGACTAATGTCCACATGCTCTAAAACTCCACACCTGCACAGTCTTCTTGTCACAGGTGGCCCATACAGCTACAGGAGGATTCCGTCTCCCACGCACCTGGCTGAACAAAGTTGAGAGCCTGTACACTAATGTTCTGGTTTCTTACATTGGCAACCTGGCGATGCAATGTGTGAACCGATTTCAGTGCCTTCATGCAGAATGTTAGGAGCACCAGTAGTGTCCATTCTCAGTTGGCAGATACATTTGGGCAAGCTAGGCATATGGGTTGACAATGCCACAAAAGGGGAAACAAAACTACTCTCAGTACAGATGTACCCTTCGATGATAGCATGAAAAGCACAACATGGGTATCTTGTGCCTAAGCACAAGCCATCCAGCTCATTACAAGGCTTTGCAGATGTGACACATCAGTGTGTGACATGGCTTTGTGTCACTAGATACCTAATATGTAATGGCCTCATTCGGCTCAATAAAGGAACAAAGCCACAGGACCCTCCACCTCCAGTTCACATTTATCCACACTGCTTGCAGCATTCCTAGCTGAATGCTGGCTGTTCAATGGTTGACACAGCGCATCCGCTTGCCCCAATTCCTGCATCTGTCAGGTGACCCCTCCAATGAGGTAGAGGTTTTCTGCACAGGCCAGTGCATCACCAGGGTTTGAAACCGTCTGTGGGCAGGCATGCAGGGTTTCCGTTGCTGTGTTCATACCCTACGCATGGGGAGGCCCCCACGGCCCCTCAACAGCCTGGAGAACAGCATCAAGAAATTCCCGGCGATCGGCGCTGGTGACAGCGCTGCTCGCCTTCTTCTCTCACGCTTTTCGCACAGTCTGTTCGACACGTACTTCCAACAAAGAATGTTTGCAAGCAAATGGCAAAAATATTCGTTCACAAGGCAGGCCATCGAACAAAAGTCGAGTGCCACCCCAAGCTCGCGCACTTGGCCACCCCAGGACGGCCCCACTCACGTCCAGGAGCAATTGCCAGAGGGGGTTGTCCACGAAGCTCACGAGCAGCTCCTTCGACTCAGCCAGCGTGGGCAGCCTGCAGAAGGGCAGCTTCAGGCCGGAGAAGGGCGCCCGGCGGACCCGGTAGCGGCTTCGGCAGATGTCGCACCTGTCGGCGCGCGCGGGCAAGGGTGCCACCGCGGGGCCCTCGGAGTCAGCACGCCATCGCCGGGCGGCGCCTCAAATCCAATCACAATGCCTGGCGCGGACGATCCCCACAACAGGAACGACGAAAGCAGCAAACAAAACCAACAACACGGCGCCGAAAGTGGCACGCCGGGAGCCCGGCTGTCGCGCATGGGGATCGGCAACACCCGCCGATGCAAAAGGGAAAGAACGCTGAGGGATGCGATTGCCCACCGGGTCCACCTCCGGCCGAGTGCCCCACCTGTAAGACTTCCTCAGCGCACCCTGGCTCCGCTGCCGCCGTTGCCATTCGCCCAGGCACCGCCGGTGGACGTATTTCTGCGCGGGCGGGGTCCACGACCGTCAGGGGTCGCAACGACTCGCGCCTGCGACAGGCAAGCGCCAGATCCCACCGCGCCGCCGAGCCGAAGCCACCGCTCGAGGGAAATCAATTCAATTCCAGCCCGCGCGCGCGACGCTCGCTCACCCCCCCCCACCAAGATTCTCAGAGCCCATTTCGCCGTACCTTCGGCCGGAATCAAAGTACCGCGACTGCCTGGAAGCGCGCAGCTGCGATTCTACCCCACCCCGACCGCCCCCTTTTCTTACAGGGTGACGCTCACCACAGATCCGGAGCACATGCACGGCGCCAGCAGCTCGCCACCGTCGCCATCGTCGCGCCCCGCCCAGCAGAACCGGCACTGGCTGTCCTCGCTGGGCGGGTCGGACGCCTCCTGGGGCAGCAGCACGCGGAGGCGCCTTCCCAGCTGCAGCGACCCGAACCGACGCAGGGGCATGCGGCGTGTGGCCGGGCGCACTGAGCGTGCTCGGCCCAAAGGGGGGATTGGCACGGGGCCGGGGAGGGGGACGGGCGATCGGCGTGTGGGTGAGGGAGGCGCGGCGACTGGCACCGGCGCGGATGCCGCTGGGAGGGGTCGAGAGGCGGACGCGGCTTGGGGGACGCGTCGCGCGGCCTCCTCTCCAACAGCCCCTGGGGTCGGTGCGCGCAGGACGCCAACCCTAACTCCTCCCACTGCGTGTGGGTGGGCCATCTGCATGCTGACGGCGAGCGATGCACACTTTTTTTCTTTCGTGCTTTGTTTTGGGCCAGGGGGGGAAGGGGGGGATGAGAGTGTATCAGTCCCTCTCTGTCTGTCCCGTGGCGATCCCTTCTTCCGCTGACAAGGCCAACGCCGCTCAGTGGGTCAGCGGTTTTAGGGTTAGGGTGTCTGAAACAAAAAGGGATCTTCACGGAAAAGACAGAGCGAATAATTTTCTGCCGGGGAGGACTTGGGGGATTGGGGAACCCTGGAAGTCGCATTTTCGCGGCGATTCCTAATCGATGTCGAATGTCACGGCGACGTCCCGGCGATTTTCTTCGGATGTGGAATGTCCAGGCAACCTTGTGGCGGGAAGGCTACCCGGCGTGGTCCACCTTCGTCGGTTCTGGACCTGTTTGATGTTGATTGGCGCCCCCCGGGTGATCGCAGCCATGAATAGAACTTGCTATGGATCTGTGCAATGTTCCATGTGAGAACTTCTTTTCCCATGTCAGAGTTGCGTTCGCTCAAGCTAGCCAATTGGGCCACGTGCATTGATTGGCACGCCGGGTACTTCTGTTATAAATTACGCTCCCAAAACACTTGTCCTCGGTCTTTGGAGCCGCTTTCCTTGAGAGCCACAAAGATATGCTCACAACTATTTTCGAATTCTTCTTCATTTCCAACGTTTAGTAATTTGGTGTCTATTTCCTTTCAAGATTGTTTTCAATGGACTCGTTAGCCCCATTCCCTTTATGAATCCTTGCCCTTAACTTTACCATGCCATGTTTATTCGATTTCTAGCAACTAGTCCTTTGCCGTCCTTTTCTATGAATGATGGTCTGCAATTTACTCGTTCCCTCCATTCCTTCGCGCAGTCCTTTTCCTCATCCTTGGCTTTCCACTTTTCTTTCTGTTTCCAATTCCTTAATTCTTGGACGTCATCTTCGTCTCCAGACAGTCTTCGATCCACGCTTGGCCCCCAAGCAATCCATCGTTCCTTCAACCCATCCTGAGCAATCCTAAAAATCCGAAATCCTGAATGTTGGCAAGACGTGTTCGGAACTGTACTCCCTCACATTCCACATCCACTATTAGTTGACGTTCCTTCTGGCTCTATACGCGAGAAATGTTCGTCTGAACAACCGATCCACAGCAAAGACAGCGGTGCAGCCTGCACAGTACGACATCGCCGCTTGAAGCCATGCTGAAGTTTGAAGACGCCAAGGCGGCACCCTCTCAACGTGCGCCATCAACAACAGTGCTTCGAGAAGTCCCAGGACAAGCTGTGTCTTAAGGTTGACCTATGGGGAGAAGCAGATGGCAAAGATGACTATCAGGAAACGCCCACGGCACACAGTTCCAGTTGTGTTTGCACCATGGCAAGAGCTCATGGTTGTGTATTCATCATCATAGCAAGCAGCAGGTGCTCTTCTATCTGGACATGGACGGCATTTGAACTCCTGGTTGCGGTTTTATAGTTTGAACAAGGAAGCGTCGAGATGAGACCATATTGCACACCTTCTAAACAACTTTTTCTAATGGATGTTCCTGCTGGTGTAGGAGGATGGCGTTCCATCTTACTACGCGCCACGGTTTTCGCTTACTGAGAATCTCGGTGAGCAGATATATGGCACATATGATATATGCCTTCATGTATCTTCTGGAAGGAAGTGATATAAGGCTCAACGCTCTGCAGCATTTGCTTGTACCATTTTCCCTGGCGCCTGATGTACATGTGACTGACTTTCCCGCCGAAATTTGACAACAATCGGACGGCCCATAATGTGATGCGTGCACAACTCAAGCAGCAGCCCCACGCACCTGAAGCCACACAGGGAACACAAGGACCTCCCAGATGATGCGGCCCGCGCCAGGAAGGGGCTTTCCGGGCCCTCCGCCAGCGCCCCCACCGCTGGTCCAGTCCACCACGCGCCAGGTCAGCGTCGAGCACACCTTCGCCGCTCGGATCCCGAACGCCAGGCGCTCCCTCTTGTCCTCGTACGCGTGCCACCACATCATGAGGACCACAAGCAGCATGGGGCTGAAAAAGTTCCAGGTCAGCAGCTGCGACAGGTGTTTTGAGCCATTCTCCGCCTGGAGCGCCAACAGGGCGCAGGACACCACCCTGCCCAGCACCATTGTCAAGTCCATGACGGCCCTCTCCCTGTTCACGTGCCTGCAGTAACTTGACTCCAGCGACCTGCTCTGGAATCCAAACACCGACTCTCGTGCAGCCAGCAGCGGCCTGAAATCCGATAGGAAGTGCCTCCCTGTAGGTGCCTCGCCAGATGTTGACGGCATTGATGCTGCACAGTTTTGATCACTCAAACCCCGGTCCTGCCCCGCGGCTGGCAGCCAGGACTCTGCACCCCTCTCCCCTGTGGCGCCATTGCTGGAGTGAGCTGCATCACAAGACTGTTGGGTGCTGCTTGAGCCCTCCATAAGTTGAATGGAACCAATCGATCGGGGTTGGCCACCCTGATGTCCATTAGATTGATTCAGATACCCAAGGACGTGGCTGCGAGCAAGTCCAGTTGGCCTCCGTTGCTGCTGGGCGCTCATGACATACACGTACTTCAGAATTTTTGTGGTCACTTGGTCTTGTGACAAAGGTGCGCCCATGATGCAAATGGATCCTGAGCTCTGAATGAACGTCTTGAGCAGGAAGGCGACCGTCTCCCACATCTGATTCGTTATCAGGTACTCCATACAAATCAACGCAATCGAACATGTCAGAAGCAGCTGACCACCCTTTGAAGCAAAAAGCACCACTTATCCTGCATTCCAGAAGTAGAAATGGTTGCACGGTTGCCTAGACCTTTTGTTGCTGCACGAGCTATGCCTCTGACCACTGGCAGTTGAGGGGGTGGGATCTGTAAGGTAAGTAGAGGATGGGATCTGTAGGCTAACGAGCTTCAAGGCAAGGGCGATAGTTCTGCTGGTGAGAAGGGCATATTCTCTGCACTAATGTTGTGAATTGTGAGGCCTTTGCCTGCAAAGGTGTCAGAAACTGAGCTACACACACTACATTCTGAGGCTGAAGTCTACCCACAGAGATGTGTCTCATGGAACGCAGATGCAGACTTGGATATACACGGATCACACATATCTTGATGCAGTTGGTATGGCAGTATGCAATATTCACAGGTGTGTTTGTGTGCTTGGAGACGGTCCAAGCAGTTAGTAGTACAGCTCTATTTGCAACATCCCCAAAAGCTCACGATGCATGCACTATGAGCGCATGTGCCAACCACTACTTGCGTTCTTGCATGTTTAAGGATTCCCTGGTTGTAGTCGGCATTGCTGCAAGGGCATCCACTGCCCAAGGAAGCCCAGGGAAAAGAGCAAAAGCATAAAATGTAAAATTGTAAACTGTAAAAGCATATAATAGATGTAGATACCATAGAAAAACAAATATTCTTCAAGGGGCAATAAAAGCTACTAAGGAAAGAAGTAGCTTAGATAAAACATAAGGTGCTGACAGTTGGGCTACAGTGCTGTGGGTGTGCCAAGGAATCCAAGTGAAAGTCTGCAAGCAGAGCTATACCACAATTGTCAACTCAGCTTCAAAATTCATTGGACACTGAGGCCTGTGTGCCGATCCAGCACCCAAACATCGCTCACCAAGAATAATTCAACTGATTGATGACAGCACTGAGCTGCACCATTCGCCCTGTGTTAAACAGCTCTTTGCATTGCAGTTGCCGCACATCTCCCTGACTGATTGGAGGCAATCACTGTGTTGGAATATTCAGAGCTCAGCACAATCATAGCTGAATATGCTGGTTGTCACCTCTGACACTTTCTCCAGCGTTGCATGGCACTGCGCTTTGCGTTCCGAGTCGCTTTCCACCCACGTGCTCCAGAATGGAAGGGACACCAGCAAATACTCGATGTCCACTACCATGCCCTTGAAGAATGTGTTCCAGGTGTGCTCCATGGCATCCCCGGAGCTTGAGCTGTTGCTGCTCTCCTCCACCTCTCTGGCCATCTTCACAAACAGGGTGTTAATCTCCTGGGCAGCCTCAGGGGAGAGTATCAGCAAGGGTGTCGAGCTGCTTGTCGATGGCGTTGTGCTGCCCTTGTTGCCAGCAATCACGAACACAACTGCCCCGGGCAGCTGCTGACCCAGGTTGACCCACCTGCCAAGCACCATGGAAATGGATTTCATTTTGGATGTTTGCTTGTGGATGATACACAGAGATTGGGACTGATGTTAGGAAAATTCTGTGCAGCCCTGTGCATGACGTCACCCTGCAGGTTGAAGGGCAGTGCTATGTTGCTTTCTGACACAAGTTACCATCGGATTTATGCAGCTGCTGGCTAGCTAAGGTATTCTTTTTGCCAGCACTGCTGAGGAAATTGAATGGACTGCTGTACCTCTGCAGAATTACGCGCAATGGACTTCTGCAATTCTCTTGCCACGAGCAAGCGGCCACAAACAATTAAGGCACTGATCCATGGGTATAGAAAATATCACAGGCTATGAGCTTCGCGTGCTCGAGACAATATCCTATTCTGCGCTCCGTTTCGCATCCCAGTCCAAGCATGTCAGGTCTGTACTCCCTTGCATCACATTATCAGAGCAGCCCTTCTCCAGGTGCACGGTGCAGTCTGCAACAGCAATTTGAATGCTCATTGTCCTACGTTGTGGAGCACGTTTCAATGCTTGACCACGCACAGAACTCCCCACCTTTCCATTCTGTGCTCTGTCTCCCTCACCACCACCACCACCTGCAGCATTTGCTCCAACTCTCCCTCCCCTGCCCCTGGCCTTGGCTCCTCGAGCCCCTCTTGTGAACACTCCTCCTTCAACCCGCCTATGAACTCGAATTCACCTGCCAACCTGCCGTTGTGAATGACTAGCAGCCGCCAGCTGGACTGCCATTTCCCAAGAGACACATCCACTGTGGCAGTCCCCTGCAGACCCAAAGGCAGGCAGGGTGGCTGGACGAACAGGATCTTTGGCACAGTGTCACCAGTTGAGGGCCTTGAGATAGTTTTGAGAGCACCGTCAACCAAGGTCACGCATAGAGGCCCCACTTGCGCCTGAACCAAGCCTCTCATGAGTGTCCTTGGAATGGTCCTACAAATGTGGAAAATGTAATTCAGCATGTGGTTCAAGTGCCACCGCTCCTCACGAGTTAGTCCTTGCAGATCGCCTTCCTGGGGTGTGCCCTCCATGGGGCTCGGTTCACAGGGATCCTCTCTGGTGGGTTGGGCTGCATCCCCAACAGCCCTGGCGCCGCCTTCCTGCGCCGTGGGGCGCTGCCTTGAGCGGCCAGAGAACAAGCGAATGATGACCTGCAGGCAGCCCTCAATGCACAGCGCTTGTATTGCAAAAGGAAGATGGCCATCGGTGCCTGAGTTGCAAGGTGTGTTGCAGTGAAAACAATCGATCGCTTCGATGATGGCATTGGTGAGGTTCAAAGCCCTGGCTTGCACCAGGTCACCTTCATGTACCTGCACCACAAGCGACATGATGGCAAAATGCAAAGGCCTGCAGCGTCCAAATGCAATCTTGGACTCTTGATGGGTGCACTTTCTGGTGTACAGGTCTACGATTTTCCAGAAATACCACTGGCGATCAGCGTGCAATGATCCCACTGCATAGGTTTAAGTTGAACAACAGTCAACATAAAAGATGATTTTCAAGACTGGCACAATGAACTCCAATGTTTTGAGATGCAGCAGTGAATAGTGTTCCTTTTGCCCAATGCACTCAAGAATTTTGAAGAGATGCATCACTACCTCCACTAATGTGCACCCTTGTGTTGTGCACAGTGCATTGCTGTCCACCTAGGGCCAACTGAGCTTCGCACCTTCATGCTAATGATGCATGTGGACATGAGAGGCTGCCTTTGGAGCCAGCTATTGATGTTTGTGGCATTGCTTGACAGCAATTGCAGCAACTCCACCTCCTCGGCACTTGCGTTCCTGCTAGATCGCCAGATGGCAGCCCTGCCACTTTCACATGTGCCATTTACAGCACCGCCACGTCTGATGTAAATATCCAATACAAAATCCTCAATTTCGTCTCCAGCTTGTTCCATTTCTGCAGTGCTATGTGGTGCAGCCCTGTCATGTTCCTTTTCTCCTGTGCTTCCTTCTCCACAATCCCTGCCTAACTGCTGCCACACGATCAGGTATGCATGATTTGAGCCACGCATACTTCCTTGGCGACTATCCAACAGACTACCAATCAGAGTAGCTCTCGATCCCCCAAGCTCTTCCTCTCCTTGCATACATCGTGCATCACTGCCACTTTCCAGAGTTCCTGCAGTGCCACAAGTGGTCTCTAAATGACCGCCAGCAGCTGCACGGCTACATGGTGGCAGCGCATGCCTGCACCTCAGACTACTGCCGAGTTCTGCTTCCTGAACGTCACCCTCCTGCTGTATCGTTCCCAGGTCTGGGCGTTGATTCACTGTGGATGGCAAATGAAGGCGCCAGAGCCAAGTGGATACATTTCCCATGAGCGGGGAGATGGACATTACAGTGGCGAGCCCAGCGCTGTCCCAGGGACCAAAGATCAACAGTGTGTCTTCATCCAAGTCCAAAGCAGCCCAGCTGCTCCTTAAGAACGGAGTCACCTGTGGAGACCAACACAACTGCCACCTTGACGTCCTGAAAGATCAAGGTGGTAGAGCCCATTTCACACCAATACGAGTGTTAGACACTGACCCGCACGACATGCACATAGCACTGGGGACGCAGCGTGCTTTTCTGATCGCTCCTCACTCCCACAACCGCACGATCCAATTTTTAGAACCAGCCCTGCAGGTTGCGATTCGCTTGCATGGTGTCCATCGCAGTTCTCCCACGGACCATGTGTTTTCCCTGAAGATTTGCATTTGGTTGCAAATGCGCTTATCCATACGGACGCAATGGACCCATGACTTGCTAGTTTCTTTCAATGTTAGTCACCACTTGCACGATGGATGTTCGTGTTGCGTTTGCAGGCCACAGAAACTAGGCTGGCGGAAGAAGTATTCACGTGTCTGGAAGGGGACTAAAGACAGTTATTAATGTACGTTGGCTTCTAAAACGACAACACATGCATTTTTGGTCCATATGTGCCCCGTACATGCGCATAACACAGTTAGTGTTCATTTCCATCATGCTAAACCCGTCGACGACAACGTGGGACAATGAAAAGATTTGCGAAACGACACCAGTATTTCACAATATTGAAAGTTGCACAAGGTTCATATTACGCAGTATTAAAGTATATGGAAGAAGTGCTGAATATATTTAAACAGTTGCAGTCTTATTACAGAAAACAATTGCCTTACATGCCATAGGAGCGCCGTGGGCTTCGTCCTATGTACATCCATTGCTTGTGTTCCATACGGACATCAACATTTCCCCTTTCCAAAACGTGCATTAGATGGCACATTCCATACACAGAGACCCATGAAGTCGAGCTGCGATGCAACTTCACCGTTGACACCATCGACAAAATCACTGTTGGATAGTGAACATACCGACTCATGTGCTGCAGAGGAATGCAGCAAGGGCTGTGGTATGCCCACGCAATAACTACAACGATTCAGATAATCCCAGGTCTTGGCGTGCGACCGCTTTTCGTGCAGCCCCCCAATTTGATCCATGTCATGGCCTCGCTCTGTCTCTGGGATGTTTCAGGGACAGTTGTTTCATGCCGCGCTCCGCATGCAGCAGCCGTTTGGATCACATCCCGCTGGCAAACTGCCAAGCAAGGGGTTTGATTTCCCATGCCCGCCATTTTCAGCAACACGGAAGCGCCATGTCAGGCGACTGGAACGGTGGCTTCGGCTCCCAAGGACGCTTTCAAAAGCGTCTTGTGCTCCCCCACCCGCCACACAAACCGGACGGGTTTACTTCGGGCGCGTGCTGGCGACTCGTTCAAACTTTGAACTTCGAAGTGGTTGATGTGGAAGCGTCGTGGGGCGGGCTTGTGGTGCGAAGCAATTGTACGGCAGGCCACACCGCCGGCTGCCCCGTCCGCAAGGAGTTTCTGGATGCGTCCAGGAGCGGTCGCGCCGACGCGTTCGCTCGCGCAGCTCACGCCGCCGGCACACACACACACAGCGGCGCTGACTGACACACTACAGCCGTCCACGGATCGTGCCTCGCCGCCCTGGAGTCCCTTCTCAGCCCGACCAGCGGCGGGCGGCAAGAACGATCGCGTTGCCACCATCGTCGGCCGTCGATGCGCGACAGCGCCTCGAGCGCCGTGCCGTCAAGCCGCAGAGAAGCCCAGGCTGAATTCTGGACATGCGTCGGCTGAGGGAGCCCTCCCCTCACCTGCAAGGTGTGCTCCTGGGCGGCCGCGAGCGCGAAGAGGAGCAGCCACGGGCTGGTGCAATCGCCCTCCCCGCGCGCCGCGCTCCCGACCACGTCCACTGTCGGCCCCCGAGGGGGGAGGCGCCGACGGGCGCCCCTCAACGCGCGCCGCCACCGCAGCAGGCGGTCCAGCAGCCCTGGCACGCAGATTGCGCACCGCGCGCCCGCCGCGGAGGCCCGCAGCCAGCCGATCGGCCAGAGCTGCCGCGGTGATCGGCGAAGGGCCCGCCGCGGGGCCATCGCCGGGCCCAGCGCGGCCGGCACGGATCCGTTCAACCGCACCGCGCCGGCCGCCGCGTCGCATCCCGCAGCCTTGCGGCCGCCCACGGTCTCCTCCGGATGCCTTCCCCGCCGCGTTGGGGTACCCCCCGGGTCTCGATTATCCTCGCGCGTGGTGTCGGCGGGAAGAGGGGGCTCCGGCATGGGACATGCGACTCCTGGGCCCCCGGACCCACGTGCGGTGTGGAGCGCGCCCCAGTTGAGTAGCCCAGAGTCAGACTCGGGATCCCGGCAGCTGGAGCTGGGCCCTCGGCCTACGCCCGGGAACGAGCCAATGGCTTTGTGTGACTCGCCAGGAGTTCAGATGGTGTAGCACGGGCCCTTTGGGCGGTCCTATTGGGGGCGTGGGGCGGAGGGCGGTTGCGGGGGGCGGAGGGAGCTTTCCGGGATGCGCGCTGGGGTGCGGGGAGGCGCACGAGCAGCCGCGAGCGCCCTGGGCCTGCGCCTCTGCGCCGGGGGCCATTGGCTGTCGTTCAAGATATGGCACGACAATCGGAGCTTCCGCCGCAGGTCGCCCACGTGGCGCGCCCACGGGCCCAGGGTGTTGTCGTGCGGCGTGACGTGGCAAAAAGCGGCGCTGGATCGTCACCGGCCCGCCAAAAAGCGCAGCGCGCGCGGCGACTCGTGTGCGCGCAAAATTGTCGTGCAGGGATCGAACCCAAAAGGGGGGCCCAGGCCCCAGGCGCGCCAAAGCACCCTGGGCAGATATTTTGGCGCGGCGAGCCCCGCGAAGGGCCGGAGCGCTTTCCGTGGCGGCTTTTGACCGGCTTCCCGCCTCGCGCCAGTGCGAGCAGAAGCGCTCGGAACGCCGAATCTTCCAGGAGCAGCGGGTCACGACGAAATCAGTAAAGCTGCCAAACAGGCTCCGCTGGATGACGCCAGGCGTCCCGGGACGGCGATGCGAGCCCTTGGTGGGTGTTTGTGCGGGGCATCTGTGCCCACAGTCGGCGCAATTCCAGCGCTTAACTTCGGGTGTGCACGAACAGTCAATCGAAAATATCTGGCTCACAGTGCATTTCGCAGAACAAGCAGCGGGCCAGCCCTTAAATGACGGATACCAGGTTGCTCCTTGCAGCTGGTGGGCGCACCTTGTCCACATGTTCAGGTTTGGTGTTTGCGGCATACACATGTTTCTATTTACAGCGATTTATGCGCATAAATGTTTTTTGCGATTTTGCACGTGAATAGGCGTAAAATTTTCTAAGAATGGGCCTTATGTGATTCAAGACAGTATATACCGACTCAAGCATTCAGG